CTGATATTGTTGACTCTAACAGGTACAGGCACATAGAGAATGTGGCAAGAAAATGTATGAAGATATTAGTTTTTATCACTGATAATTTCATAAAGGATACAAAACTGAAAACTATGGTGGAAGAATTGCTCGACCTGACGAAGAATATAACTAAGGATCAAGTCCAAATGTATGTTTCTGAAATGACTGGGAAATCACAAAACATAACTACAGAACAGATGGAACATTTTTCTGAATGTGTTTTAGCTCAGAAAAGAGTAGCTGTTGTTCCTGTTGAAGCAGTAGATGATAACTACAAAATGACAGGACTTAGGACTCCTGATCCTATCAGATTTTATGATTTATCGACTGACCCAGACAGTAATGAAGGGTTTGTAGTCAAAGTCCTAAAGGAAGCAAAGAAAGGAAGGAAAATGTTTGAAAGTTTTGCTGCTTTTGTAAAAAGAAAAGAGCATTCAAATGAGAGTCAAGGTGATACTTCAGATAAAAATCCACATTCTACTTTAAATAAACACTTACATGCTGCTTCTGGGGAACAATTGCATACTTCCATTGGAGAATATCCACATGCTTCTGGGAAATGTCTAAATCCCACTTCTGACTCTCAGCTGATCTCAAATGCAACTTCTGTATCTGATAGTCCCATGGAATACCACTGTAAGAATGATGAAGTTTCCACTGATCGCTCCATTGTGGCCTCTAATGACAATCCTGTTACCTATGACCAGTTGAGCAGGAGCCTGTCTTTTGTGGTAAGTCCATGATGTGGTTCAATCCAACGGCTGGCAGGTTATCCAAAATGTGTGACCTTATATAGAACCTATATAGATCAAGTGCCAATAGAGATCTAGTGCCAATAGAGATCTAGTCTATATAGATCTCTTACCAATACAGATCTAATATAGATATAGTACTAATATATATCTAATATAGATATAGTACCAATATAGATATAGCACCAATAGAGATCTAGTACCAATATAGATCTAGTACCAATATAGATCTAGTGCCGATATAGATCTAGTGCCTATATAGATCTAGTACCAATATAGATCTAGTACTAATAGAGATCTAGTGCCAATATAGATCTAGTGCCTATATAGATATAGTACTGATATAGATATAGTACTGATATAGATCTAGTACCTATATAGATCTAGTACCGATATATTTCATAAAAACTTCAGGTGGATTCTATCAGGTTTTTTTTTTTTACAATGGAAATCATATTTATTTCTATATATAATTCCAAACTAAACATAATTTTAAGAAAATTGCTACATTTTTTATTGTGCATTTTAAACTATAAGCTTCATGACACAAAGTCCTAGATTCTGCTGTTATTTTCTGGTTCTGCTGTTATTTTTCTGTTGATCAGGGTGAGACGTCAGATCAAGAGGAAAATTCAGAACACAAAATAGATACTAGAGACTAGATACTGATGACATATATGCAATGCATCATTGATTTATTGATTGATTTTAAATTCTTGCAGCCATGTTCAAGTAAAACATTGGAAAAGAAGACTGAAAGAGATGCCAGTAGGACAGTCTACTCTGCCCAGATTTCAGGTAGATTTTGTGCAGTTTTAACGTCATCTTAAATTGATTTCCAAAACAATACACATCTACCAGATTTATTCCATTTCTCAAACACAGTGCATTCAGACCAGAGTTCTTTTTCATAAGTAATTTTTTATATCAGAATAGACTATTTGTTTTCTCTTTGTGTATATTCATCACTAGTGATACAAATGTTTCCTCACAGTTTTGTAGGATTGTGGTTACATCTACATTTCAATGTCCATTAAAGTAATATATGAATGTCATTTACTATGAATTGGTTACATCTAAAGAAAATAAGATACAGCTCCCTCGACAACTGATGTGATGTTAAATGATGAATTATTTCTTTTTCAGAGTCAAAATTTGAGGATAGTAGTGGAGAAATAAGTTCACTAGAGACTGATCTGAAGTATAGTGAACAAACATTCTTACAAGCGACTGATATGGAGGATGGTGGGCAAATGTCCTTACCAGAGACCAGTGTGGAGGGTACTGGACAAATGTCCTTACCAGAGACTGGTGTGGAGGGTACTGGACAAATGTCCTTACCAGCGACTAGTGTGGAGGATGGTGGACAAATGTCCTTACCAGGGACTAGTGTGGAGGGTGCTGGACAAATGTCCTTACCAGGGACTGGTATGGAGGGTGGTGGACAAATGTCCTTACCAGGGACTAGTGTGGAGGGTGATGGACAAATGTCCTTACCAGGGACTAGTGTGGGGGGTTATGGACAAATGTCCTTACAAAAGACTAGTGTGGAGGGTGGTGGACAAATGTCCTTACCAGGGACTAGTGCGGAGGGTGATGGACAAATGTCCTTACAAAAGACTAGTGTGGAGGGTGGTGGACAAATGTCATTACAAAAGACTATTGTGGAGGGTGGTGGACAAATGTCCTTACCAGAGACCAGTGTGGAGGGTACTGGACAAATGTCCTTACAAGAGACTAGTGTGGAGGGTGGTGGACAAATGTCATTACAAAAGACTATTGTGGAGGGTGGTGGACAAATGTCCTTACCAGGGACTGGTATGGAGGGTGGTGGACAAATGTCTTTACCAGAGACTGGTATGGAGGGTGGTGGACAAATGTCCTTATCAGGGACTGGTATGGAGGGTGGTGGACAAATGTCTTTACCAGGGACTGGTATGGAGGGTGGTGGACAAATGTCCTTATCAGGGACTGGTATGGAGGGTGGTGGACAAATGTCTTTACCAGGGACTGGTATGGAGGGTGGTGGACAAATGTCCTTATCAGGGACTGGTATGGAGGGTGGTGGACAAATGTCCTTACCAGGGACTGGTATGGAGGGTGGTGGACAAATGTCCTTACAAGAGACTAGTGTAGAGGGTACTGGACAAATGTCCTTACCAGAGGATGGTGTGGAGGGTGGTGGACAAATGTCCTTACCAGAGGATTGTGTGGAGGGTGGTGGACAAATGTCCTTACCAGAGGATTGTGTGGAGGGTGGTGGACAAATGTCCTTACCAGAGGATGGTGTGGAGGGTGGTGGACAAATGTCCTTACCAGAGGATGGTGTGGAGGGTGGTGGACAAATGTCCTTACCAGAGAATGGTGTGGAGGGTGGTGGGCAAATGTCCTTACCAGGGACTGGTATAGAGGGTGGTGGACAAATGTCCTTACAAGAGACTAGTGTGGAGGGTGGTGGACAAATGTCCTTACCAGAGGATGGTGTGGAGGGTGGTGGACAAATGTCCTTACCAGAGGATGGTGTGGAGGGTGGTGGACAAATGTCCTTACAAGAGACTCGTGTGCAGGGTACCGGACAAATGTCCTTACCAGAGAATGGTGTGGAGGGTGGTGGGCAAATGTCCTTATCAGGGACTGGTATGGAGGGTGGTGGACAAATGTCCTTACCAGGGACTGGTATGGAGGGTGGTGGACAAATGTCCTTACCAGGGACTGGTATGGAGGGTGGTGGACAAATGTCCTTACCAGGGACTGGTATGGAGGGTGGTGGACAAATGTCCTTACAAGAGACTAGTGTAGAGGGTACTGGACAAATGTCCTTACCAGAGGATGGTGTGGAGGGTGGTGGACAAATGTCCTTACCAGAGAATGGTGTGGAGGGTGGCGGACAAATGTCCTTACCAGAGACTGGTGTGGAAGGTACAAGAAACTGAGAAATGGAAGTGATACATTTTCAAGTTACTGTCAGTGAGTGTTGAAGTAGTACATTGTAACAACATTTTCAAGTTACTGTCAGTGTTGACGTAATACATTGTTACAACATTTTCAAGTTACTTTCAATGTTGAAGTGATACATTGTAACAACATTTTCAAGTTACTTTCAATGTTGAAGTGATACATTGTAACAACATTTTCAAGTTACTTTCAATGTTGAAGTGATTCATTGTAACAACATTTTCAAGTTACTTTCAATGTTGAAGTAATACATTGTAACAACATTTTCAAGTTACTGTCAGTGTTGAAGTAATATATTGTAACAACATTTTCAAGTTACTGTCAGCGTTGAAGTAATATATTGTAACAACATTTTCAAGTTACTGTCAGTGTTGACGTAATACATTGTTACAACATTTTCAAGTTACTTTCAATGTTGAAGTGATACATTGTAACAACATTTTCAAGTTACTTTCAATGTTGAAGTGATACATTGTAACAACATTTTCAAGTTACTGTCAATGTTGAAGTAATACATTGTAACAACATTTTCAAGTTACTGTCAGCGTTGAAGTAATATATTGTAACAACATTTTCAAGTTACTGTCAGTGTTGAAGTAATATATTGTAACATTTTCAAGTTACTGTCAGCGTTGAAGTAATATATTGTAACAACATTTTCAAGTTACTGTCAGTGTTGAAGTAATATATTGTAACAACATTTTCAAGTTACTGTCAGTGTTGAAGTGATACATTGTTACAACATTTTCAAGTTACTGTCAGTGTTGACGTAATACATTGTTACAACATTTTCAAGTTACTGTCAGCGTTGAAGTAATATATATACTGTCAGTGTTAAGTAATACATTTTTCAAGTTACTGTCAGCGTTGAAGTAATATATTGTAACATTTTCAAGTTACTGTCAGCGTTGAAGTAATATATTGTAACAACATTTTCAAGTTACTGTCAGTGTGTTGTTACCACGTAATACTTTCAATGTTGAAGTGATATATTGTAACAACATTTTCAAGTTACTGTCAGCGTTGAAGTAATATATTGTAACAACATTTTCAAGTTACTGTCAGTGTTGAAGTAATATATTGTAACAACATTTTCAAGTTACTGTCAGTGTTGAAGTAATATATTGTAACATTTTCAAGTTACTGTCAGCGTTGAAGTGATACATTGTAACAACATTGCCCAGGTACTGTCAATGTTGAAGTAATACATTGTAACAACATTTTCAAGTTACTGACAATGTTGAAGTGATACATTGTAAAAACATTGACAAGTTATTGTGCATGATTTATTGATCCTAGAAAAGTTTTGTATGCAGTAGCAAAATCTTTTGGAGCTTCAAACTGTGGATAGTGTCCAATGTTTGATTTCAGCACTGTTATGCTTGGGTTGGGAACATTCTCTCTGAAAGTGTAAATAGTTTGAAATCAATTTCATATTTTACTTAAGGTTTTATGAAACAAAATCCTAGTATAATACATTGTATATCTGATTCCTGGTTAATTCAGACATTAAATATCAGAGAATGTTGTTTTAAACATTTTGCCTCTTTGCTTTTCCTTGTTTGTTCATTATTGTGCAATAAGTGATAATACAATGTGCTACTCATATAACTGGGATGAGTGCAATGTTATATACTGGGTAAAGTAATGGCCTGTGTTATTTATTCATTTATAGAAGGTTATGATTAATGTTGAAGTGATACATTGTAAAAACATTGACAAGTTATCTCAACCCAATGATTTATTGAAAACTAGAAAAGTTAGCAAGCAAAATCTTTTGGAGCTTCAAACTGTGGATAGTGTCCAATGTTTGATTTCAGCACTGTTATGCTTGGGTTGGGAACATTCTCTCTGAAAGTGTAAATAGTTTGAAATCAATTTCATATTTTACTTAAGGTTTTATGAAACAAGTTGTGTTTTTGTTATCCCAGTGCTTTTAATTGTTGATGGGATTTAATTATTGACATGACTTCATTGAGACAAGGAAATCTCATATTGGTAAAGAGCTTTGATTTACTTGTCTAGGGTATGAGAAAAGTGATTTATATATTTTCTGTCACTTACTTGTAGAACTGAATGAAGGCAGGTGGGTTGACAATGTCAGCAGGCCCATAGATCATGTGAACTGCAAAGAAGAATATATAGTATAATTTATTTAGTAAAAAGAATTTGCATATCAATGAAGTATTTATATTGTACATTAACATAGATTTGTGCCATACAGTTATTTAGGTTGCCTTATAGGTTGAATTACAATTATAGTGCCTTACGTACTGATAACATTTATATGTTATAGAAGATAGACACGCACTCAACGCTATTGTCTAATTCTTACAACTTTACTGTATACATTCCAGTATAGGTTTTACAGATATTTTGAAAAAATGTGCTAATTTTAAAATATCTGTTGAAACAAATGCAGTTTACACACCAGTAAGCAACGAAACAATTTTTTATTTGTCCAACCTGAATGACCTTTCACATTGAATTTTAACTGAAATATTAGAGTTTAGTGTCAATCATTTGTAAGTTTATAAACCTCTTTGTTTTACTTAAAATTGTGACCTTTTAGTGACCTTTTCTTTGAGTGACTGGTTTAGTAGGAATAATACAGAATAGCCTGTATAATGTAATGTGACAGGTCATTCTGATTGGACTGAAATAGGAATACTTGTGATAATGATTTAATGGTGATAAATTTACCATTATTAGAGAATGTTATTTGATATTTTGTTTGTTGATGATGTTATAATGACTGATAAATTTAGAATAAATCTGCTCAGATTCATGTTTCTGTGGTTATATTGATTTATTCACAAGTGGAGAAAATAGGTGACCAATATAACAAATAATTTCATTCAACTTTTTACATGTTATTTTCCTGTACTGCAAATTTACACCTTCAAACTGCTTGTGTGTCACCATGCCTGGGAAAAACCTTGTATACATATTGTTTTACCTAAATACACCTAATAATTAAGCATATTTTAATGTGTATTTGGAAGGCTAATAATAGGTATTGAATCCTGCAGTATACAGTAATATTCCCTTCATTTTAAATCAAATTTTGGTCAGAAAAGGGGACATTACAATTCTCCATGCTCTTAGAGTTATCTTTTATTTAAAAAATATTTGAAGAATAACTGAATTGGAAATGCACAAGGTAAGACCAGAGTCACCCTGCAATGAACAGCTGTATTGTCTTACAAGTATCTGTTCTGGGGAAATTTTTAAAGGATCTCTTTATGTGAATAACAGACAGAAGATCTACCATGTTTCTCTTCATTTGAGGTTGAAGAGGCAAGTCTGAGAAAAAATTGTTCCATTTTATTGAGTCTATGGAGATGTCAAATGGAAAAATACATTCTGTTGTTTGCATAACACATAACTTAGCAAAGTCGTGAAAATAGCATTTATTTAGACCAATGCAAAATCGAACCTGGCAATATTCTAAATCTTTTTCTACATCGCCAAATTTATGGGAATGAAGAACCTTTTGTCAAGTCATATATTAGAAGTGAAAGTGTTTGCATCCAATGTTAGTGGTACCCAGTGATGGAGATACATGTCTTCTCACCTGGAACTTTGGTGGTCTGTAGAGCACCTACCCATCGATCTCTGTGTACAGCCCTCTCACTGACGTAGTTCAACAGGCTGTAATGATAGTCAATATGAATTAACTTTTTAATGTCAGATGAATGAAGTATAACATTGTCTTGTTAATCTTTTTAATCCAAAAATTCCCTGTACCACTGAAATAATTCAAATTTCCTTTTAAAACTGTGAACCCCTTATTTTCTTAATTTTATTTTTTTTTTTTTTTTTGTTTTCCTCACCACTTTAAGATCACCAGACCTTTCAGCTGTTAATATATTATGAAGTTATATGCACTGATACATGGACAAATAAAATAAAGCAACTGTGGATATTTGGAGGCTTAGAATAATTAATATCAACAGAGAATTCACGGTTAGTTTTTGTTCATTAGTACTAGCAGCAAACTTACAACTGTTTAGGTGATACTATACTTCACTGAGGGGTGTTTATTCACTTATAATTGTTGGTTTTTCTATAATGTCTAAACATTCTGAATAAGTCCAGAGTTGTTAAGACTCGAACAAATTTTGAAGTCATAGCTGAGACATATTCTATATTAAACCTAGCAGAACATATAGGATTTAGTGACGGAAAGCTAGTCATACAAACTTTTGACATGTTATTACGTAAGTTTGCAGAGGTGGTGGTGCACAGGAAATCTTACTGTGTGGGAAAACTTAACAACCCACTTATTGTGTCCATAAGGTTGGACTGAAAAAAGAATATCTTTTTTCTCCTGAATAGTATTCACACTTTTCACCAGTATGAGATTTCCTTGTCTCATCCAAGGGTTGATTCAATGTATACAAGGACAACAAAACTACAAGCCTAAAGAGAGCTTAAAGTAATCCTTTACTTCCATGTTGGTGAAATTGAAGGAAAACCACAAAATTTGAACCACATAAAAATTTGTGGTTTAATGGTGCCCTTCCATAAAGTGAGAGATTGAATTGCATTCCTGTCTGATATGGAAATCCAACTCTGTCCATTTTATGAACATTAGTTGGTCAACACTGTATGAATGACCCGCACCTAATGTAACATTGATATATTTGTATTCATTCAGTGATGAGCCTGTAATAAGCCCACCCATTTATTACGGTTTCAGGAGACTTGGTAGTAAATGTTCTGCAACTATCCTGTAATAAGCCCATCTTCCTACTCTGAGTCTCCAAAATTACGAAACTAATAATTGAGAATGAAAACTCACAGACTGTCTACCATATTTCCATCTTTGTGAAGTTTTATAGTAAAGATGTCATCAAGTTCTTCATCAGAAGGCATAACTCCAAACACTTCTCCAAAGCTTTCAAAAAAAAAATGATACTCGTTATTTTTAGATTACTTCTATATAAACACACAAAAGAAAACAAAAAAAAAAAAAAAAGGATCAGAACATATAACAAGCTACTACAGAGTGATCACAAGCTACTACAGAGTGATCACAAGCTACTACAGAGTGGTCACAATCTACTGCAGTGATCACAAGCTACTACAGAGTGATCACAAGCTACTACAGAGTGGTCACAAGCTACTACAGAGTGATCACAAGCTACTACAGAGTGATCACAAGCTACTACAGAGTGATCACAAGCTACTACAGAGTGGTCACAATCTACTGCAGTGATCACAAGCTACTACAGAGTGGTCACAAGCTACTACAGAGTGGTCACAAGCTACTACAGAGTGATCACAAGCTACTACAGAGTGATCACAAGCTACTACAGAGTGATCACAAGCTACTACAGAGTGATCACAATCTACTACAGAGTGATCACAAGCTACTACAGAGTGATCACAATCTACTGCAGTGATCACAAGCTACTACAGAGTGATCAGAAGCTACTACAGAGTGATCACAAGCTACTACAGAGTGATCACAAGCTACTACAGAGTGGTCACAAGCTACTACAGAGTGATCACAATCTACTACAGAATGATCACAATCTACTGCAGTGATCACAATCTACTACAGAGTGATCACAATCTACTACAGAGTGATCACAATCTACTACAGAGTGATCACAAGCTACTACAGAGTGATCACAATCTACTACAGAGTGATCACAAGCTACTACAGAGTGATCACAAGCTACTACAGAGTGATCACAAGCTACTACAGAGTGGTCACAATCTACTACAGTGATCACAAGCTACTACAGAGTGATCACAATCTACTACAGAGTGGTCACAATCTACTACAGAGTGGTCACAATCTACTACAGAGTGATCACAATCTACTACAGAGTGGTCACAATGTACTACAGAGTGATCACAAGCTACTACAGAGTGGTCACAATGTACTACAGAGTGATCACAAGCTACTACAGAGTGATCACAAGCTACTACAGAGTGATCACAATCTACTACAGGGTGGTCACAATCTACTGCAGTGATCACAAGCTACTACAGAGTGATCACAAGCTACTACAGAGTGGTCACAAGCTACTACAGAGTGATCACAAGCTACTACAGAGTGATCACAAGCTACTACAGAGTGGTCACAATCTACTACAGAGTGGTCACAATCTACTACAGGGTGGTCACAATCTACTGCAGTGATCACAAGCTACTACAGAGTGATCACAAGCTACTACAGAGTGATCACAAGCTACTACAGAGTGATCACAAGCTACTACAGAGTGATCACAAGCTACTACAGAGTGATCACAAGCTACTACAGAGTGATCACAAGCTACTACAGAGTGGTCACAAGCTACTACAGAGTGGTCACAATCTACTGCAGTGATCACAAGCTACTACAGAGTGGTCACAATCTACTGCAGTGATCACAAGCTACTACAGAGTGATCACAAGCTACTACAGAGTGATCACAATCTACTACAGAGTGGTCACAAGCTACTACAGAGTGGTCACTATGTACTACAGAGTGATCACAATCTACTACAGAGTGATCACAATCTACTACAGAGTGATCACAAGCTACTACAGAGTGGTCACAATCTACTACAGAGTGGTCACAATCTACTACAGAGTGATCACAAGCTACTACAGAGTGATCACAAGCTACTACAGAGTGATCACAATCTACTGCAGTGATCACAAGCTACTACAGAGTGGTGACAAGCTACTACAGAGTGATCACAAGCTACTACAGAGTGATCACAATCTACTGCAGTGATCACAAGCTACTACAGAGTGATCACAATCTACTGCAGTGATCACAAGCTACTACAGAGTGATCACAATCTACTGCAGTGATCACAAGCTACTACAGAGTGGTGACAAGCTACTACAGAGTGGTCACAATCTACTACAGAGTGGTCACAATCTACTACAGAGTGGTCACAATCTACTACAGAGTGGTCACAATCTACTGCAGTGATCACAAGCTACTACAGAGTGATCACAAGCTACTACAGAGTGATCACAAGCTACTACAGAGTGATCACAATCTACTACAGAGTGATCACAATCTACTACAGAGTGGTCACAAGCTACTACAGAGTGATCACAAGCTACTACAGAGAGTGGTCACAAGCTACTACAGAGTGATCACAAGCTACTACAGAGAGTGGTCACAATCTACTACAGAGTGGTCACAATCTACTGCAGTGATCACAAGCTACTACAGAGTGATCACAAGCTACTACAGAGTGATCACAAGCTACTACAGAGTGATCACAATCTACTGCAGTGATCACAAGCTACTACAGAGTGGTCACAATCTACTACAGAGTGGTCACAAGCTACTACAGAGTGGTCACAATCTACTACAGAATGATCACAAGCTACTACAGAGTGATCACAAGCTACTACAGAGAGTGGTCACAAGCTACTACAGAGTGGTCACAATCTACTACAGAGTGGTCACAAGCTACTACAGAGTGATCACAAGCTACTACAGAGTGATCACAAGCTACTACAGAGTGGTCACAATCTACTACAGAGTGGTGACAAGCTACCACAGAGTGATACACTTTTGACATTGACTCAGGCAGACTTTAAGCACTGGTGGAGTCTGATCATTCTAAATTCCCATATTCTATTTTTTAATTTTTAATTAGATTTATTCAATATAACATCCTTCCATTAGTGAAATTTAATCAATCCATTTTACCAGAGTAAAGATGTTTGTGATGTGGTCTCCCTTCGTGAACAATCTCTTACATATTACTTTAATGATAAATCTATTCAAACCCAAGTACACTACTCAGAATTTTAATGTGACACAAAAATGTAAAGAAAACTACTAAAATTGTATATTGTTTTCAGCAGTAAATTTGAAAAGAACTCACAAAAATAAGTTGTAGACTAATCACTACTAATTACCTTCTTTTGAAGAAAAACTTAAAGAAAAAGAATCTTGACACGATGGGCCCAACCACTGAGTTCTTCAACACCTGTTGGTATGATAATCAGGTGAATAATCAAGATCACAAACGTGAAATCTGTATAGACACTAAAATTGACTATAAATCCAAATCAAATCAAAATATGTATGGTTAAGTCAAATAATTGTATCACACGGGCATGTAAGAATGTTTAAGGGGAGGGGTGTAGTAGAATTTATAATGCTCCTCCCACATATACACTTTTACATGATCCTGTGATGGGTGTTGGGTAAAGAATATTATTATATTGTCACGTCTGGTAGTGTCAATAAACAGAAGAGAGACAAACACACATGAAAAATGATATAATGTACTTATGATATAATGCACTTTACTTAATTTGGCACAAACAATTTGATCACATTATCACTTTCATTGTAAATTGGTGCAATGATGAATTTGTATGTCCATGAAAATGACTATTTAATTGATATGAAGAAAATGCAATTAGTGCAATCATACTTTAGCGCAATAAAGTCAGCGCTGAGAGCACTAAAATGAAATTAAAACTCATTACTGCTAAATTAAGCACATTTACAGAAATTTCAAGTTGGAAATTGAATAGCAGCTTACCCTCTGTATAGGTCTTGGATGGTTTGTCTCTGGAAACACACCTACAAATTGAATATTGATACTTGATAGTTTAGGAGACTTTCTAACATCATTTGTACATATTCCAGTTAAAATGTTGTTAATAGATATTTTGTAAAATTGAATAAATAATTAGCATACCTCCATTTGAGAGACAAAGTGACAGGACATGGATCCTACCATGTCCTTGGTTGTGCCTGAAATAGATACACAAAATTAATAGAATTCCATGATAAAGATATTAAATTTGTAGAAGTTGAAAGTACTGGTCGCCTTACTAGCCTCAGCTAGTCAGAATTTTCTTTTAGTCAACCGGTAGAGTATCAGGCTAGGCACCAATGAGTCTTCTGTTCAAACCCCAGCCATGGCAGAGTGTTTTTCATGGCTCCTTTCAATTACAGATTGACAGTAGTAAACAGCACCAAATCTGTAATAGGAAGGAGTAATGAAAAACACCCTGCCACTGCTAGGGTTCTAAGTAGCCACCATTCAGTCTTTAGCTAGGCAATCTACTGCTACACTAAAGGGAAATTTCCACTAGCCAAGGCCAGTAAGGGAACTCTCAACTTCTACACATTACAACAAGTGTAAATTCAAGTCTGACCACCTAGACAACAAGCAGTTCTAATATACACATAGTCTGTGTATGTGTCTGTATGTGCTAACCTCCATCATGTACCCATGTTCACACTATAGCATCAGCTCATCAATGTCTACATCTGATTATATTTGGTGGTCAAAGTTAAAGGTAAAAGGTCACCTTTGACCACTACTATAATGAAAAGCTTGTATACAAGATCTCATGAAGCTCCTAACAGTTCATTTTCATACCATAGTATTACAGTTTCAATTTCTACACCAAATTAGATTTAGGTGGTCAAGTTTAAATGTCACAAGTCACCCTTAACCATCTTAAAGCTTAATGTGTAGAAGATATCTCATGAACCCCTTAATAGATTAACGACTCAACAGAATTAAATCAGAAGAACAAGAGGCCCACGGGCCTTAACGGTCATCTGACTATAAAGACCTAAATATGAAAGAGGACAAAAAAGGCTGAAAATCAATTGCTCAACTATTATACAGCTTACAAAGAAGGCATTGTTGGTTCATAAAAAATATTCCGCAAACTTGAAATTATATTCTTTATACATGCTGCTACATAAATGTCATTACTCTGAACCTATTGCTTGCTGATAAAGAAATTTTTAAATCTCAACTCACTTAACCCAAGAGATCTTGAATATAGGTCAAGGTCAATTATTTGAACAAATTGGTAGTTGCCCTTCATAAACTTATATTAAAGAATCAATATTGACAGTCTGGATCTTTTTATTATTGAAAAGTTATTTGAAGATTTTATTGCATTTGACCCCAGTTCCCTTTGAAAATGAAAAGAGAAAATGTCAATACATAAACAAAATTGGTAATCCTTCATTCTAGCATGCTATAAGTTGATTATCAGCAATCAAGGCCTTTTGACTATTGAGAAGAAGTCTTTTAAATATTCCAACATATTTGACCCCTATGACCTTGAAGGTCATTCATATTATCAAACTTGGTAGCTCTCCATCCCAGCATCATACAGGCCCAATATCAGCACCATGGGCTCTTTTGGTTATTAAGTAGAAGTCGTTTCAAGATTTTGACATATTTGACACCTTTGATCATGAAAGTGGGTCAGGGTCACTCATATGAACAAACTTGGTAGAAATTGATCCCATTGTGCTATATGACCAATATCATCACCCTGGGCCTTTTGGTTATTGAGAAAAAGTTGTCTTAAAATGTTAACATATTCGACACCTGTGACCTTGAAAGAAGGTTAAAGTCATTTCTTTCACCCAACTTAGTAGTCCAATATCCCATCATGCTACAGGACCAATATCAGAGCCCTGAGCCTTCTGATTATTGAAAAGAAGTTGCTTAAAGATTTTAACATATTTGAACCTTGTGACCTTGAAAGGTCTAGGTCATTCATTTTATCAAACTTGGTAGCCCTTCATCCCAGCATCAAACAGGCTCAATATCAGCACCCTGGGCAGAAGAATCTGTTTAAAGATTTATAGGTATTTGACCCCTGTGAACTTGTAAGTAGGTAAATTTCATTTATTTTCAAAGCTTGGTAGCCCTTTATCCCATCATGTTACAAGCCCAATATCAGCACCCTGGACAGAAGAATTTGTTTAAAGATTTACAGATATTTGACCCCTGTGAACTTGAAAGTAGGTGCTTGGTAGCACTTGACCCCCATCATGCTACAAGCCCAATATCACCAACCATGTTTGGGCCTTTTGGTTAGTGAGAATAAGTCATTTGAATGGAAAGTTTATGTACGGTGGACAACAACGAAGAAACAAAATGGCTATAGATGGGGTGTTGGGGGTATATCTATGTGTGCCCCTGCTCACTGTGTTTTTATTTGCTCAAATAGATTTATGCAAGGTCTAAATGCAATATAAAACCAGGGTTCTCAGAACAAATTGTTGAAACAATTCCTGGTCACATTTGTGATAAAGGTGATTGCATTTTTACTACCATACACCTCATCAACAATCACTGGATACATTATTTACATAAAGCTACTTGATTACAACATATTCTGGTCTGTGTGTTCAATCCCTCAATTTACCATAATGATTTACTTATTAAAGACAAGAGACACCAGTTTGTCAATATTTTATTTGGAGGTCACTGAAATGTCTCAATTTTTGTCAACAATCTAATGTCTTTTTCTTACGATGACTAACAAGGTCTCCTTTTGGAATTACCTGGCTAAAAGCTCCAGAGCCACTGTGTCCCCATAGTCATGTGATAGGATGTGAGCTTGTTTAACACCAAGTTTCATCAGCAGCACCTCACCAATGTCTGTCTGCTCCGATATTGTAAAGGAATGACCCAACTGTCAAAACACATTACTCCACTGTTTAACAGAATATTTATCATCTCTCACATGTTTTTTTCCTTGAGCATCCTGCATCAGCACATGCTTTAAGATACTTTGAAATTTTTATATATAGTTTACAGTTATATTTGAGTTGTATGAATACGATTATTTTCTTAACACAAATTCAATTTTGCATAATAATATGGGGTATGAATTTCAATCTTTAACTGTTATAAAAAAAGCTAAAATGATATATTATAAAAATTTTGTATATGTCTGTTTATTTCATTGATTGCGTCAACAAAATGTATGTATATTGTATGTAAATGTCTTACAAGAGGCCCATAAGGCCTGTACTGGTCACCTGGCTGTGCTTTGTCCAAATTATAGGCAAAGGATTTTGAAGTTTTTTCGCTTTTTGACCCAGCTCGTACCAAATTTGGACAAAATACTGTCATTTCTACAGCAGAAGGATTTTGGAGAATTTGCAATATATTCCCTATTGGGCACCATCCTTCCCACACCAGGGGAATTACATCAACCATTTTACATATTTGTTCTCACCAAAGGACACTTCAGACCAAATTGGAACAGAATCCTTGCATTCCTTCAGAAATTTATAAAACATTTGCTCTATTTACCCTTTTGGGCCCCATCTTTCCTGCCCCAGGGAGTTGAGAGTCTAAGACCAACTGTGTATACAAAATTAATTCTTTTCACATAAGGATGTTACTACAAACCTAATTTAGATAGAATCCAGGCATTCCTTCAGAAAATGAAAGATCTTAAAGAATTTTTGTTTATTTTCCCTGTTAGGTCCCCTCCTGCTATTGGGGACCAAGACCAATTATTTATACAACAAGAGGTGCATGGCCTAAGGGTCATCTGACTATAAAGACATATATATGAAAGAGGCCAAATAGGCCTAAAATGAATAGCTCAAATATACTACAACTTACATAGATGACATTGGTTGGTTAACTGAACCTGTCTCATTGATAAATGTATATGTATTACCGGTTTGTCTCCAACGCTGTCACAGATAAATATATATATATAAACTGTTTCTCACTGAACCTGTCTAACAAAGATAAATATATTACTTTTTGTCACTGAACCAGTGTCACAAAGATAAATTTATAATAAGTTTGTCACCAAACTTTTCTAACAAAGATAAAAATATTATGGGTTTGTCAATGCTCCAGTCTCACAAAGATAAATATATTACTTTTTGTCACTGAACCAGTCTAACAAAGGTAAACATAATATGGGTTTGTCACTAAACCAGTCTCACAAAGATAAAGATATTATGGATAAATATATAACCTGTGTCACAGAACCTGTCTAACAAAGATAAATGTATTACTGCTTTGTCGCTGAACCAGTCTAACAAAGATAAATGTATTACTGCTTTGTCGCTGAACCAGTCTAACAAAGATAAATGTATTACTGCTTTGTCACTGAACCAGTCTAACAAAGATAAATGTATTACTGCTTTGTCACTGAACCAGTCTAACAAAGATAAATGTATTACTGCTTTGTCACTGAACCAGTCTAACAAAGATAAATATATCATAGGTTTGTCATTGCTGTCTCACAAAGATAAATATATCATAGGTTTGTCATTGCTGTCTCACAAAGATAAATGTATTACTGCTTTGTCGCTGAACTTGTCTCACAAAGATAAATGTATTACTGCTTTGTCACTGTCTAACAAAGATAAATGTATTACTGCTTTGTCTCTGAACCAGTCTTACAAAGATAAATGTATTACTGCTTTGTATTACCAGTAACAAAGATTGTCAGACATTTGATAAAGACGTTGTCTAACACAGATAAATGTATTACTGCTTTGTCACTGAATCAGTCGTACAAAGAATGTAACTGCTTTGTCGTATATTATGGCTTTGTCACTGAACCAGTCTAACAAAGATAAATGTATTACTGCTTTGTCTCAGAACCAGTCTAACAAAGATACATGTATTACTGCTTTGTCCCTGAACCAGTCTAACAAAGATAAATGTATTACTGCTTTGTCGCTGAACCAGTCTAACAAAGATAAATGTATTACTGCTTTGTCACTGAACCAGTCTAACAAAGATAAATGTATTACCTGTCACTGAACCAGTCTAACAAAGATAAATGTATTACTGCTTTGTCGCTGAACCAGTCTAACAAAGATAAATATATTACTGCTTTGTCACAGAACCTGTCTAACAAAGATAAATGTATTACTGCTTTGTCGCTGAACCTGTCTAACAAAGATAAATGTATTACTGCTTTGTCACTGAACCAGTCTAACAAAGATAAATATATCATAAGTTTGTCATTGCTGTCTCACAAAGATAAAGATATTACCAGTTTGTCAATGAACTTGTCTCACACGTATATGTATTACCAGTTTGTCAGACATTTGTAAGACGTTGTCTAACACAGATAAATAATCACTGGTTTGTAACTGTATTAATATATACTGGTATATTAGTTATACAATGAAAATATATGTAATATAACAAATCCTATAGATCATACATCACAACTTGACTGAACTCTGCCTTCAGGTCATCTAATATCTAGGAAAACAAGAAACAATAATCAATAGAAATGGTTAAAATTAGAATAGAGTGTAGTAATGTACTAATGTACTAATATAGTTATACAATGTATTAATATAACACTATAGTTATACAATGTATTAATATAACACTATAGTTATACAATGTATTAATATAACACTATAGTTATACAATGTATTAATATAACACTATAGTTATACAATGTATTAATATAACACTATAGTTATACAATGTATTAATATAACACTATAGATACAATGTATTAATATAACACTATAGTTATACAATGTATTAATATAACACTATAGTTATACAATGTATTAATATAACACTATAGTTATACAATGTATTAATATAACACTATAGTTATACAATGTATTAATATAACACTATAGTTATACAATGTATTAATATAACACTATAGTTATACAATGTATTAATATAACACTATAGTTATACAATGTATTAATATAACACTATAGTTATACAATGTATTAATATAACACTATAGTTATACAATGTATTAATATAACACTATAGTTATACAATGTATTAATATAACACTATAGTTATACAATGTATTAATATAACACTATAGTTATACAATGTATTAATATAACACTATAGTTATACAATGTATTAATATAACACTATAGTTATACAATGTATTAATATAACACTATAGTTATACAATGTATTAATATAACACTATAGTTATACAATGTATTAATATAACACTATAGTTATACAATGTATTAATATAACACTATAGTTATACAATGTATTAATATAACTGATACTGACTTACTACAGTTTATAAAGTCAGGAGGTCCATGATACTGACTTACTACAGTTTATAAAGTCAGGAGGTCCATGATACTGACTTACTACAGTTTATAAAGTCAGTAGGTCCATGATACTGACTTACTACAGTTTATAAAGTCAGGAGGTCCATGATACTGACTTACTACAGTTTACAAAGTCAGGAGGTCCATGATACTGACTTACTACAGTTTATAAAGTCAGGAGGTCCATGATACTGACTTACTACAGTTTATAAAGTCAGGAGGTCCATGATACTGACTTACTACAGTTTATAAAGTCAGGAGGTCCATGATACTGACTTACTACAGTTTATAAAGTCAGGAGGTCCATGATACTGACTTACTACAGTTTATAAAATCAGGAGGTCGATGCTACTGACTTACTACAGTTTACAAAGTCAGGAGGTCCATGATACTGACTGACTACAGTTTATAAAGTCAGGAGGTCCATGATACTGACTTACTACAGTTTATAAAGTCACCAGGTCCATGATACTGACTTACTACAGTTTATAAAGTCACCAGGTCCATGATACTGACTTACTACAGTTTATAAAGTCAGGAGGTCCATGATACTGACTTACTACAGTTTATAAAGTCACCAGGTCCATGATACTGACTTACTACTACAGTTTATAAAGTCAAGAGGTCCATGATACTGACTTACTACAGTTGATAAAGGATTCCCTATTTACCTTATTCCAGTCATAACTAGATGTAGGATATCCATGGAATATCAGCACAGTTCCTCTGTTTGGATTCGATCCTTTTTCATCTATGATAGAAAACACAAACTTTGTGATAAAAAATGCAAGCTTAAGTTCATCAATATAGTCTCCTGTCAACAACCTTTGACCTCCTTTATTAACTCTAAGCAATATTAGTCTATTTAGCCCTTTAAATTTATAGACCTTTTTTCGTTTCAAAGAAAATCAGTAAATACAGATCTCATTAAAAGTATCTGTCTTTTGACAACACTAGCAACATCAGTCTACTGACATCATCAACAGTATCATTCTATTGACATCATCAACAGTATCATTCTATTGACATCATCAACAGTATCATTCTATTGACATCATCAACAGTGTCAGTCTATTGACATCATGAACAGTGTCAGTCTATTGACATCATCAACAGTATCAGTATATTGACATCATCAACAGTATCAATTTATTGACATCATCAACAGTGTTAGTCTATTGACATCATCAACAGTGTCAATCTATTGACATCATCAACAGTATCAGTATATTGACATCATCAACAGTATCAATTTATTGACATCATCAACAGTGTTAGTCTATTGACATCATCAACAGTGTCAATCTATTGACATCATCAACAGTATCATTCTATTGACATCATCAACAGTATCAATTTATTGACATCATCAACAGTGTTAGTCTATTGACATCATCAACAGTATCAGTCTATTGACATCATCAACAGTGTCAGTATAATGACATCATCAACAGTGTCAGTCTATTGACATCATCAACAGTGTCAGTATATTGACATCATCAACAGTGTCAGTCTATTGACATCATCAACAGTGTCAGTCTATTGACATCATCAACAGTGTCAGTATATTGACATCATCAACAGTATCAGTATATTGACATCATCAACAGTATCATTCTATTGACATCATCAACAGTATCATTCTATTGACATCATCAACAGTATCATTCTATTGACATCATCAACAGTGTCAGTCTATTGACATCATCAACAGTGTCAGTCTATTGACATCATGAACAGTGTCAGTCTATTGACATCATCAACAGTGTCAGTCTATTGACATCATCAACAGTGTCAGTCTATTGACATCATGAACAGTGTCAGTCTATTGACATCATCAACAGTATCAGTCTATTGACATCATGAACAGTGTTAGTCTATTGATATCATCAACAGTATCAGACTATTGACATCATCAACAGTGTCAGTATATTGACATCATCAACAGTGTCAGTCTATTGACTTCATCAACAGTATCAGACTATTGACATCATCAACAGTATCATTCTATTGACATCATCAAGAGTGTCAGTCTATTGACATCAACAGTATCAGTCTATTGACATCAACAGTATCATTCTATTGACATCATCAAGAGTGTCAATCTATTGACTTCATCAACAGTATCAGACTATTGACATCATCAACAGTGTCAGTATATTGACATCATCAACAGTGTCAGTCTATTGACTTCATCAACAGTATCAGACTATTGACATCATCAACAGTATCAGTCTATTGACATCAACAGTATCAGTCTTTTGATATCATCAACAGTATCATTCTATTGACATCATCAACAGTGTCAGTCTGTTGATATCATCAACAGTATCAGTCTATTGACATCATCAACAGTATCAGTCTATTGACATCATCAACAGTATCATTCTATTGACATCATCAACAGTATCAGTCTATTGACATCATCAACAGTATCAGTCTATTGACATCAACAGTGTCAGTCTATTGACATCATCAACAGTGTCAATCTATTGACATCATCAACAGTATCAGTATATTGACATCATCAACAGTGTCAATCTATTGACATCATCAACAGTATCAGTCTATTGACATCAACAGTATCAGTATATTGACATCATCAACAGTGTCAATCTATTGACATCATCAAGAGTGTCAGTCTATTGACATCAACAGTATCAGTCTATTGACATCACCAACAGTATCAGTATATTGACATCATCAACAGTGTCAATCTATTGACATCATCAACAGTATCAGTCTATTGACATCAACAGTATCAGTATATTGACATCATCAACAGTATCAGTCTATTGACATCAACAGTATCAGTCTATTGACATCATCAACAGTATCATTCTATTGACATCATCAAGAGTGTCAGTATATTGACATCAACAGTATCAGTATATTGACATCATCAACAGTGTCAATCTATTGACATCATCAACAGTATCAGTCTATTGACATCAACAGTATCATTCTATTGACATCATCAACAGTGTCAGTCTATTGACATCAACAGTATCAGTCTATTGACATCACCAACAGTATCAGTATATTGACATCATCAACAGTATCATTCTATTGACATCATCAACAGTATCATTCTATTGACATCATCAACAGTATCAGTATATTGACATCATCAACAGTATCATTCTATTGACATCATCAACAGTGTCAGTCTATTGACATCATCAACAGTGTCAGTATATTGACATCATCAACAGTATTAGTCTATTGACATCATCAACAGTATCAGTATATTGACATCATCAACAGTGTCAATCTATTGACATCATCAACAGTATCAGTCTATTGACATCATCAACAGTGTTAGTCTATTGACATCATCAACAGTATCAGTCTATTGACATCATCAACAGTGTCAGTCTATTGACATCATCAACAGTATCAGTATATTGACATCATCAACAGTATCAGTCTATTGACATCAACAGTATCAGTCTATTGACATCATCAACAGTATCAGTCTATTGACATCATCAACAGTGTTAGTCTATTGACATCATCAACAGTATCAGTCTATTGACATCATCAACAGTGTCAGTCTATTGACATCATCAACAGTGTCAGTATATTGACATCATCAACAGTGTCAGACTATTGACATCAACAGTGTCAATCTATTGACATCATCAACAGTGTCAATCTATTGACATCATCAACAGTGTCAGTCTATTGACATCAACAGTATCAGTCTATTGACATCATCAACAGTATCATTCTATTGACATCATCAACAGTATCAATCTATTGACATCATCAACAGTATCATTCTATTGACATCATGAACAGTATCAGTCTATTGACATCATCAACAGTATCATTCTATTGACATCATGAACAGTATCAGTCTATTGACATCATCAACAGTATCAGTCTATTGACATCATCAACAGTATCAGTCTATTGACATCATCAACAGTGTCAGTCTATTGACATCATCAACAGTATCATTCTATTGACATCATCAACAGTGTCAGTCTATTGACATCATCAACAGTATCATTCTATTGACATCATCAACAGTGTCAGTCTATTGACATCATCAACAGTATCAGTCTATTGACATCAACAGTGTCAGTCTATTGACATCATCAACAGTATCATTCTATTGACATCATGAACAGTATCAGTCTATTGACATCATCAACAGTATCATTCTATTGACATCATGAACAGTATCAGTCTATTGACATCATCAACAGTATCAGTCTATTGACATCATCAACAGTATCAGTCTATTGACATCAACAGTGTCAGTCTATTGACATCAACAGTATCAGTCTATTGACATCATCAACAGTATCAGTATATTGACATCATCAACAGTGTCAATCTATTGACATCATCAACAGTATCAGTCTATTGACATCAACAGTGTCAGTCTATTGACATCATCAACAGTGTCAATCTATTGACATCATCAACAGTAGCAGTATATTGACATCATCAACAGTATCAGACTATTGACATCATCAACAGTATCAGTCTATTGACATTATCAACAGTTATTAATACTCAACCGGAATAAATTAGTCTGTCTTTATAATTCCGGGATACCTGGTAGTAAATTTAATGTTTGTGATGAAACTATGAAATAGACTTGGATATGAATGTAAATCATAAGAAGTCATTATAATAGCAATAGTTCAACCAGTTACAAGAGGAGAATTTGACTTACAATGAAAACTTCATGTGTGAAATAATGGACCAAACAATAAACAAAATTTTGAACTTTTTATTTTGTTTTTTTTTTTGTTTTTTTTGTTTGAGGAAAGACAATGACCAGAATAAATTTAGGTTCTTAAAAAATATACCAATATAGAATATGTCATGGTTGCCAAATTTGAAGAAACTTCCCTTGTCCATCCAGAGTCTGGCTTGGTTGGTTAGTGGTGGGTTTGGTAGTATCATCAACACTACAGCTACAAGTGCAGTCACCATTGCTAAGTACAGTGGCCAGGCCATCTTAATAATTGTACCTGTAGTCAACAAAGTAATATTCTCAATATCAATTCCCTTAATATTGATGTCTTTTTAAAACACTGCACATCACAATAGGGGTTCATAGGGTAATCTTCGGAACACCTTTCATACTAAACCAGGGCTCTCGATCTGCCAGATTTGCGGCCGAATATGCAAAATAGTATATTTTTTTCCCAATTTAGACCCTAAGTTTTCCAAATTCTAAGGAAAACACTGCTATTTTTCCCCAATTCTTAAGGCCCCGGGCCCCAGTCCCAAAATGGGGTGTAAGAGCCCTGTAAACAAGTGGTCCATAGGGCCTGTATCAGTTACCTGGATAGTTTAGCTATCACACATCAAAATCTCTTTATTGACAATTATATCACTTTGTCTTCCTCCAAAAGATGAGGATTTTCAAAATTTTAAACCAAATTTGGTCAAATTTTTGAAGAATTTAACTCTATTGCTACTACCGCAACTGCCCTATTGCCTCCATGTGGCCCAGAACTACAATTTATATCAAAATTTGGATCCCTTCACCCTGAGGTCCCTGGCCCCGAGACCAACCATTTACAGAAAATCAGCTCCCTAAAGATGCTTCTGACAAAATTGAAACAAATTACCTTCATTCTATCAGAACCATAAGGATTTTTAACCAATTTCTCTATGGATTATAAATATATAGTTGTGTCATCCAGGGTGAAGACCTAAGAAAGGGAGGGAAGAATGTAGCAGGACTGGACTAGGTCAATCATCAAAGAACCAGGTACAACATGTGGCTCACTTAATAAGACAGATATATAGCATCCATTTACAGTTTGGGGGATCTTGGGTTCGAAACCTGGTCTGGCCATCATTTCACAATAATTTTCAGCCAGAAATATGAAGAAAATCTATAGGAGATTGAGATGCATTGTAGGGAGATATTGAGTCTGGTTTCTTGTTGATCATGATGATGAGGGTCTAGACTTAGTGAAGGAGGAAGTGGTGTAGAAGTTGAGAGTATAGGTTGTGTAACTAGCATCAGGTGGATGAAATTTCCCTTTAATAGAGTGGTAGAATGTCCAGCTAGATATCTAAAGGTCCCTAGTTTTAATCCCGGCAGTGTCATACAGGTTTTAATTACTACTTCGTATTATATATGTATCTGGAATTAAAGTAATATTGGGTATGCTGTAAAATTTAGAGATCATTTAGTAAAATAGATAGAGAGAAGCAGGTTTCCGTCTGTGTTTATGAGAAGTGAGGATCGAACATATATGTGACGCCGACACTGTTAGTACATGTATATTACATGTGTACAACGTACTGACATGTACAATTGCAACCAGCAAACAGAAATTAGAAAATGTAGACCGATCAAAGGTCAATAACATGAATTTACTGTACGCACCGGACATGTTCGTTAAATAAACACATGTTGTGCTCATTACATCACATTCATAAATTTTATGAGGTAACGTTAACCACATGTTGCGAATCGCAAGAGTGACATATCTGCTTATATTACCTAAGAATGATCCAAACTTCGGTAAAACTACCTAACTCCTACAGGTTGAGGGTCACCACGAATTGGAGGTCGACACGCCTCTTTCCAGAACTTTTTTATTGTGATAAGTCTGTGATTTTATTAAAACGATATAAAATATACTTCTTTCTTTTTCCTCCTATTCGGTTCCGTTTCCGTCTCTCTTGACTCTCTCTCTCCTCTCTCTCTTGGTTCCGTTTCGGTGATTGGTCGCGATCGCACTCTTTCCGGTGAATTTCTGGGCCGCGTTTAGTACACGTGCTTATTCATTTGTTTACTTCCGTTTTCAACCTGTCACCAACTTAATTGGAGAAGTGATTCTCTATACATCAGATGAATTTCAAGATATCTAGATATAAATCATAGATCAGTAATTTTACTGAAAAAACATTAGCGTCAGGGATGATTTCATTCAACGATCTGTAATGATTTGTTTGGAGAATTATTACAAGTGATGGTAATATTGTTTTTCAACCTGTCGGCATCATGGACATCGTGAATGAAAGTCGTAGCTGGATGAAACCATTAGAACTATTTGAAGACAAAGAAAAAAATGTGAAAATGTGCGCCCCTATGGTCAGATATTCAAAGTATGTTGAACAGAACCGTAATTGTTTTATACGTTCAAATCACTTCGTCACATGTTAAGACTACATGAGTGCGCCTTGTATAAAACGCCATATTTTATGAAGACGGTACTACTTTGATAAGGTGATAATTGTGCTCACGTGTTCATGATTCATCAAAATTACAACTAGAAATTTGTGCATTTTTATGAACAGAAACTAACTAAAAAAGGAAAGGAAAACTTTTTGATATAGTAATATCTGTAGACATATACTGGGCATTCAATAACATACGTGTTGCCTATATTTAAGATTTTACAGATGTGCACAGTTACACGAAATTTTGTGTTTGTCATAGATACAGGTGGCATGTAGTCACCAAACAGGTTAATTGAGGAAGTATTGAAATCACAACAATAGACTGGTTACATGCTGTTTAAAACAAATACTGAGACTTGTAAATGCTCTCCAATATTGTCATATAAATTAAAACAGGAAAATGATTCTTTTTTCTCTGACTGCTTATAAGATTACACTCTCCAGTGTATTGTTTACTGAATTGAACAACTTAGACAGCATATTTGATTTCCAAGCCCACCATTATTTAAAGCATGTTATCACTCTCTAGAAAAGTACTGGACGGATCTTTCTCAAATATCATATGTAGGTTCTCCTCGGTCCCTAGTTGTACTATTTTGATCTTGTTACTGATCAGAAAAATGAAAAAGCTGATTCATGGGGATTTTGCCACTGACATTTGTTTTAATCACTGTTTCTTGAAATAAAAAATGCTCTGCATATATTTCTCAAATTCCATATGTAGATTCCCGTAGGTCCCTAGTTGTGGTCTTTTGATTTTGAGACTGAAAAGCATATGGCATGCAGCTGGCCATCTTGTTTTTTTTTTTTTTTTCAACAATTAAGCTACTGGATGAGTTTTTCTTAAATTTCTTACTCCCTCGGCTCCCTTGGTCAAATAAAGATAAGACAGTTGTTGGCACCAAGATCCCTCTGGGATTTCTCTCTTTTATAAGTTGTACATAATATGCATGTTATTGGCAGTTATTTGTTTAGTTATTGTAAAAAAGAATTCTTAGCTTCCTTGTACACCAATGTATCTGGTGTTCAAAGGGGGAAATCCTCTGCAATGAAAGGACACTTGGAGTTCAAGTGCATCATCTCAGATCCAAGGATTTTTATTTTGACAGTTTTTGATGCAGGCCTTAACAACAGCCTACTTGCTCATTTACATGTGATTAATAATGCTTTGAAAGAAAGTTCTGTTTGTGATAGAAATCAATCTAGATCAATGAACAACATCTGAAGAAACATATAACCTTTGTATATTATTATGATACCTACCCACAAAAAGGGCAAAAATGAACCAATTACCACCTGAATCCAACTTCGGAGATCTGACAGTTAAGGATACCATTTCTACCAACACTGTCACCAGAATGCAGATTTTATATGTAGACTGCCAATGTGACTGAGCTATATTATGGCATTATGGCACTACTGTATTGTCATTACCATGTGAAGTAAACTATTGTAGTTTCATCCCACCTGAGTCGTAATTTTAACCTGAGCTATGTAAATGTCTATACTGTTATTCTGATGATGGCTAGACTAGCAAGTCGAAACATGTAAACCAAGAATAAAACCACGGACTCCAGATGTTGATGCTACATCTTTTATGTCATTCATTATTATGTAATTATATACTTGTATTGTTGATTTGTTGCAGATTAGCATTCCGTATGCTGGTGAGAAAATATGGCTGTGATTTAGCATTTACACCAATGATTATATCAGAGTCTTTTGTAAGGTCTGTGAAGGCAAGAGACAGTGAATTTACTACTTGTAAAGGTAAAAAAAAAGGAAATACATGTTAGGCCCTATCATCTTTCAAGTATTCATTGTTTAGGGAGTCTGTACGGAGGACATCTTGGAGTGACCAAGAATTCATTAAAATAAATAATGTTCTGCAGTTTTAGGACTGTATAACCATTACCTTGAAGTTTCACTCTGGCATGGTGGCCAAAATGCCCAAAGTTTAAAGTTCATTTTTAAAATTTATAGATTTTCCAATTGTTCAAGACCTGTTAAAAGTACCTGAACAGCTGTTTTTGTATTGAAGATGACCGTCCTTTGGTGGTGCAGTTTGCAGCAAGCAACGCACAGGATCTTGCTGATGCAGCAGAAATTATAGCACCGTAAGGTTAATTTATTCTATGATACTGAATTATTACAATATAACAAGTATCATTATTATCATCTATTAATGGTACATTTTGATGACATGATAACCTGAATTCATGCTTGAATATAAGATGCACAAAATTGTAGAAGTAAATAGTACAGGCTACTTTACTAGCATAAGCTAGTGTGAAGTTCCCTTTAGTCGAGCGGTAGAATGTCCGGCTAGAGACAGATGGGTCACAAGTTTAAACCCAAATGGTAGCAAGGTGTTTCTCTTCACCCTTTCCTATAACAAAAATGTGACCTATTGATATCTGCATGAAAAACTGCACTTCTTATACAATGTCTTGAGTTGTCATTTAAGGTATGCAGATGGGGTTGACTTGAACTGTGGATGCCCACAAAGGTAAGAGGTGTCCCCCTTGAACAATTTTTTATTTCGTCATAGGACTACTTTATTATTTTGTAAGTGTATGTAATATGCACATGTAATATTTTGCATACTACACATCTGTAATACAATTTGTAGTGCCATCAGGTTAAGATAATAAAATGATGTCACTCACTCAGTTTGCATTGTGACATAACATTTGTGTAATAGCTTGTCAAACTGGGTGAAGGAATAGAAACACAACACAATGTTTTCATTATTTACAATTTTAATTACACTATATATTATCAGCAGTAGCTATGAATACTTCCACACTCGCTCTATAACATTTGTGTACAGGGATTAAACATTGGACCGTTATACATATAAACTGTAATATGTATGATATGTTGACCTACATTCAAGGTCACAGGGGTCAAATTTGTTAAAAAATTTGAATGACTTCTGCTCATGAACTAGACCCCATAGAGAAATGATATTTGGCTGATTTGTTCCTAGGATGAAGCCTGACAAGGTTTGCAAAAATAAATTACCTTGACGTATATTCAAGGTCACAGGGGTCAAATTTGTTAAAACCTTTAAACAACTTCTACTCATGAACTAAAAGGCCGAGAGGCATGATACTTGGCTTACCATTGGGCTTCTTGTTATTATATGGATCACTTTCAACAGAACTGTAAACATACACAATAAATGTTTAAGTTTTCCATGTTGCTCACATTAAATGTATGTATTTTAAAAATGAACATAGGTGGAGATCTTGATGACTACGTCCTTGTTCTTATATTCAATTTATAAGTAATATTTGATATATCTGTAAGCTATATAAATTGTGGTCCTGTGAATTGTATATAAGAAGACTTGTGCAGTATTCTGAAATTGTATTATTGGGAATGTGAATCCTATTTATGGTGTTACATTCCAGTATCAACAAGATTATAACTATCAGTTAATCTATGCCTATCAATAAATTTATGCCTTTCATTAATTATGCCTTTCAGTAAAATGATGCCTATCAGTAAAATTATGCAGAATGTAACATGTATTTGATGGTTTAATGCTTTATTGCTACAGGTGGGCCATGCAGGAAGGATATGGAGCATGCTTAATTAAGAAACCAGAACTTGTAAAAGACATGGTAACACAGACTAGGTCACGGGTCACACAGAGTGACTTTTCTGTCTCAGTCAAGATCAGATTAAGAGAAAATGAAAGGTACATCTGCCTATGAGTAACGTCCAGTGTTGACATTCAGAACCATTGATTTAATCAGACATATTTGTTTGTTTGGTTACTTGTGATAAAGGGTCATGGTGCCATTGCCTGTTGTCTGTCGTCATGTATCATCTTTCCAGATTTTTAGCTCACTTGGTTCAAAAGGAATGGTTAGATTTTGCCCAGATTTAGACTGGAGCATTCCTGGGTGAAGGGGAATCAATTTTGTATAAACCATCAGTTACAGTCCCCAAGGGCAGGAGGGGCGACCCTAACACTCCTGTCACCTTACACTCCTGTCACCTAACACTCCTGTCACCTTACAATCCTGTCACCTAACACTCCTGTCTCCTTACACTCCTGTCTCCTTACACTCCTGTCTCCTTACAATCCTGTCACCTTACATTAATGTCACCTTACACTAATGTCACCTTACAATCCTGTCACCTTACAATCCTGTCACCTTACACTCCTGTCACCTTACAATCCTGTCACTTTACACTACTGTCACCTTACGATCCCATCATGTTACATTCCTGTCACCTTACAATCCCATCACCTTACACTCCTGTCACTTAACAATCCCATCATCTTACACTCCTGTCATCATACAATCCTGTCGCCTTACACTCCTGTCACCTTACAATCCCATCATCTTACACTCTACACTCCCATCACCTTACACTCCTGTCACCTAACAATCCCATCACCTTACACTCCTGTCATCATACAATCCTGTCACCTTACACTCCTGTCACCTTACAATCCTGTCACCTTACAATCCTGTCACCTTACAATCTCATCACCTAACACTCCTGTCACCTTACAATCCTGTCACTTTACAATACTGTCACTTTACAATCCAATCATGTTACATTCCTGTCACCTTACAATCCTGTCACCTAACACTCCTGTCACCTTACAATCCTGTCACCTTACAATCCCATCATGTTACATTCCTGTCACCTTACAATCCTGTCACCTTACACTCCTGTCACCTGACACTACTGTCACCTTACAATCCTGTTACCTTACACTCCTGTCACCTTACAATCCTGTCACCTTACAGTCCTGTCACCTTACAATCCCATCACCTTACAATGCCATCATGTTACAATCCTGTTACCTTACAATCCTGTCACCTAACACTCCTGTCACCTTACAATCCTGTCACCTTACACTCCTGTCACCTTACAATCCTGTCACCTTACAGTCCTGTCACCTTACAATCCCATCATGTTACATTCCTGTCACCTTACAATCCTGTCACCTTACACTCCTGTCACCTTACAATCCTGTCACCTTACAATCCTGTCACCTTACACTCCTGTCACCTTACAATCCTGTCACCTAACACTCCTGTCACCTTACAATCCTGTCACCTTACACTCCTGTCACCTTACAATCCCATCACCTTACAATCCAATCATGTTACAATCCTGTCACCTTACAATCCCATCACCTTACAATCCCATCATGTTACAATCCTGTCGCCTTACACTCCTGTCACCATTATGTGAGTGTTTTTGGCAAGATGGGTTCTTATAGAATTGGGTTATTTAAGACCTCTGTATCTTTATGTAAGTGGGTGTTGTAATGTATACATATACTGGATGGAGCAAAAGAAATGTGTAAGTCTGACATAATATGTGTGGATTCTGTAAGGCCTACATATCCTGATATAAGGTGATTCTGTAAGGCCTACATATCCTGATATAAGGTGATTCTGTAAGGCCTACATATCCTGATATAAGGTGATTCTGTAAGGCCTACATATCCTGATATAAGGTGATTCTGTAAGGCCTACATATCCTGATATAAGGTGATTCTGTAAGGCCTACATATCCTGATATAACGTGATTCTGTAAGGCCTACATATCCTGATATAAGGTGATTCTGTAAGGCCTACATATCCTGATATAAGGTGATTCTGTAAGGCCTACATATCCTGATATAAGGTGATTCTGTAAGGCCTACATATCCTGATCTAAGGCCTTCATATCCTGATATCAGTTGATTCTGTAAGGCCTACATATCCATATATAAGGTGATTCTGTAAGGCCTACATATACTGATATAAGGTGATTCTGTACGGCCTACATATCCTGATATAAGGTGATTCTGTAAGACCTACATATCCTGATATACATTGATTCTGTAAGGCCTACATATCCTGATATACATTGATTCTGTAAGGCCTACATATCCTGATATCAGTTGATTCTGTAAGGCCTACATATCCTGATATCAGTTGATTCTGTAAGGCCTACATATCCTGATATTAGTTGATTCTGTAAGGCCTACATATCCTGATATAAGGTGATTCTGTACGGCCTACATATCCTGATATAAGGTGATTCTGTAAGACCTACATATCCTGATATACATTGATTCTGTAAGGCCTACATATCCTGATATACATTGATTCTGTAAGGCCTACATATCCTGATATCAGTTGATTCTGTAAGGCCTACATATCCTGATATTAGTTGATTCTGTAAGGCCTACATATCCTGCTATACATTGATTCTGTAAGGCCTACATATCCTGATATCAGTTGATTCTGTAAGGCCTACATATCCTGATATTAGTTGATTCTGTATGGCCTACATATCCTGATATAAGGTGATTCTGTAAGGCCTACATATCCTGATATACATTGATTCTGTAAGGCCTGCATATCCTGATATACATTGATTCTGTAAGGCCTACATATCCTGATATAAGGTGATTCTGTAAGGCCTACATATCCTGATATACATTGATTCTGTAAGGCCTACATATCCTGATATAAGGTGATTCTGTAAGGCCTACATATCCTGATATACATTGATTCTGTAAGGCCTACATATCCTGATATAAGGTGATTCTGTAAGGCCTACATATCCTAATATAAGGTGATTCTGTAAGGCCTACATATCCTGATATAAGGTGATTCTGTAAGGCCTACATATCCTGATATTAGTTGATTCTGTAAGGCCTACATATCCTGATATGAGGTGATTCTGTAAGGCCTACATATCCTGATATTAGTTGATTCTGTAAGGCCTACATATCCTGATATAAGTTAATTCTGTAAGGCCTACATATCCTGATATTAGTTGATTCTGTAAGGCCTACATATCCTGATATAAGTTAATTCTGTAAGGCCTACATATCCTGATATTAGTTGATTCTGTAAGGCCTACATATCCTGATATAAGTTAATTCTGTAAGGCCTACATATCCTGATATTAGTTGATTCTGTAAGGCCTACATATCCTGATATAAGGTGATTCTGTAAGGCCTACATATCCTGATCTAAGTTGATTCTGTAAGGCCTTCATATCCTGATATCAGTTGATTCTGTAAGGCCTACATATCCTGATCTAAGTTGATTCTGTAAGGCCTTCATATCCTGATATCAGTTGATTCTGTAAGGCCTACATATCCATATATAAGGTGATTCTGTAAGGCCTACATATCCTGATATTAGTTGATTCTGTAAGGCCTACATATCCTGATATAAGGTGATTCTGTAAGGACTATATATCCTGATATAAGTTGATTCTGTACGGCCTACATCTGCTGATCTGAGTGCATTTAGTATGGCTTAGATGCCCTAATATAGGTGTAATTTTTTTTTATTACAGGGAAACTGTGGAGTTATGTCAAAGAGCAGAAAAGGCAGGAGCATCATGGATAACTGTTCATGGTCGCACACCATCCCAACGCACTCAACCTGTCAATATTGAGGCCATTAAACTCATCAAGGAAAATGTCAACATCCCTGTTGTTGCCAATGGTGATATTAAATCTCTAGAAGACTCTCACATGATCAGGGAAAGAACTGGAGTTGATGGTAGGACCTACATGTTGGCAAGATTTACTGTGAAGGTTCCCTTTTAAAGGTCCTATTTTTAGCCCACCATGAGGTTGTGGGCTATTCATTCGCTCTGTTGTTAGTCTGTGGTCTGTCAGTAAGCAATTCTTGTTATCACTTTTTCTTTAGAACTAAAGAGGGATGGATTTTATGGTGGAGATACATATTGTATAACATGAAACCTTCGTTGTGTATTAACTTTCATTGTGTTTTGCTTTTGTACCAGGAAAATAAATACAAGGAGTATTTCTACAACATGATAGAATACAGACAATGAAAATTTGAAAATTAATTTTACTTTATTTCATTAAAATCTTTGCACACAAAAGTGCATACTTTGTACTTGATGATCATGTAACAAAAATATTCCAATTTAGATTGATTGGTACTCTGTGTCAGAAGTAAACAAATGGTATAGGATATACAAAACAGATTGTTGCTCTTGCAACTTTGTCCTAATGAAGCCTATACAAGAGAGCTGACATAAATGAACAGAATAAGCTCAATCAAACTGCCAGCTAGTAACGCTCGAGCATGTTGTGATTAATTACCTTTCCATATATTTCTTAAGAAGTACTTGGAAGATTTTCTTCAAACCTCATATAAAGGTTTCTCTTAGTCCCTATTTGTGTCAATTTAATTTCGGGATTGATCAGTTAAAGAAGATGGCTGACAGGCAGTCATTTTTGATGTAGAGTGTTAGAATTTGTTATCACAAGTTCTGGAATGATTTTTCCCAAACAAAACAAGATGTGTAGGTTCCCCTGGTCTTTAGTTGTGCACATGGAATTTTTAAGCTGGTTGGGAAAACAAAATTGCTGACAGATGGTCATCTTGTGGTTTGACAGTTTAAGTATGTTAGTACTGTTTCTTGAGAAGTACTACGAGGATATTTTTGAAACATGTATAGAATCCCCTTGGTCCCTTGTGGTCCGAAGCACTTATGCTATACTTCAGCAATGTCACCCATCAATCATTCATCCATCATCTTTTTCTTCAAATCACTGCTAGTCATGAATGATGGAGTGAATTTTGACCAAATTATCAAAAGAAATGTTAGGGGCAGCAAACCAAATTTATATAAATGGTAGATCTCTGCCCAGAGAGGCATGACCCAAATAATCAAATCTTCAAGCAACTTATTCTTGATTACCAAAAGGTCCCAAGGCAAGTGATATTGGTTTTGTAATATAATTAGGTGAAAGGCGACCAAATTTATTCCAATAATTAACCTTGACCCACTTTTAATTCATTGATGACTCAAACTTTCTTCTATTTATAAGCAATAGGTCCTTGGTTATGGTATTTATGTAGTAGCATGTGTGAGGAATAGGGTTTCAAGTTTGCAGAAATTTACTTTATAGTTCAACAAGTCTTCTCTGTATGCCACAGAACAGGTGAGCAATTCAAGCCCATTGGGTCTCTATCACATATAAGTCGTTACAATCAGTTGACCATTAAGGCTAATGGGCCTCTTGTTAGCTTACCTGGCCCAAAGATATTTGAGAAGAGCATTGAATACAAGGTGAGCAATGCGGGCCCATTTGGCCTCATGTTAATTTATACCATTCTGCGGCATCCATCCACTGTCATCTGCCTGTCAATTTTTTATCAAAAAATTGTTACTACTGAGCAAGTTCTTTAAAATCCTGCTCTTCCTGTAGGAAATATTGAATTTTGTCTGAAGCATCCTTAAGTGAAGGGGACTCAGTTTTGTATAAACAGTTGGTCTTGGTCCCTTGAGGTAGGAGGGGTGAGGCCCAATAGGGGAAATAGAGCAAAATTTATTAAAATCCTATTCCTTCAGCAGAAATGATGGGAAGCCACCTCCCCACTTAACATGGAGATGGGTTCACCTTAGTGAAATGGTGTATCACATGTTCACTCTACCCCATTTGTGTCATGTATCAAAAGTAGGTCATAATGACCGATATTTTGACCTTTGACCTACATCAAAGATAAAGTTTGTCCTGGCTTTATCTCCTACACTGCTAGTAATAGGAAACTTGGTGTTTGAGTTCACCTTTGTTAGACAGTAAGTTAGATTGGGATTGTGATTCACCAAATTATCTTGCTAGAACTTACTTGGAAATTTGGTATTTGGGAGGTGTGGACATAAGTGTGTTTTGCATTTTTCTTAAAAGTGAACATACTGACAAAGCCAGACAGGCAAGATGTATAATTACATTTAATTCTTGTCTCTGATATAAATTACAGCATTGAAATGTACCCGGTACTTGATTTGACAAACCTTTTCTTGTCTTTAAAATTTTTTAGAAAAAACCAAATTGAAAACTCACGAAAATTAGTACTTATTACATAATCACTGAAATTAGAAATGTTGTTCAAACAATACATCTGTTTCAAAGTGACAAAATCATTTTGATAATTATAAAGAATTTTGTATGAGGAGTAACTTATTCAGTTTGTATTAAAGCTGTTCGTTTTCAAAACATAACAATTAAAAAGGCCACCATCTTTTTACAGGAATCCCGTTCAAAATATACAGAAGTATATTAACATATTTATTGTATAGACTATATACAATAACCCTATCATTCTAAATATATAGAAGTATATTAACACATTTATTGTATAGACTATATACAATAACCCTATCATTCAAAATATATAGAAGTATATTAACACATTTATTGTATAGACTATATACAATAACCCTATCATTCAAAATATATAGAAGTATATTAACACATTTATTGTATAGACTATATACAATAACCCTATCATTCAAAATATATAGAAGTATATTAACACATTTATTGTATAGACTATATACAATAACCCTATCATTCAAAATATATAGAAGTATATTAACACATTTATTGTATAGACTATATACAATAACCCTATCATTCAAAATATATGGAAGTATATTGAACACATTTATTGTATAGACTATATACAATAACCCTATCATTCAAAATATATAGAAGTATATTAACATATTTATTGACTATATATAGACAAAATATATGCAATAACCCTATCATTCAAAATATATGGAAGTATTTGAACACATTTATTGTATAGACTATATACAATAACTCTATTACACTTATAGCAAAACAATGCAAACTTTGTTAACAATGTTGTTCCATTTATTTATGTAGAGACTGTTTAACAGTCCAAGGTTTTTCCTTTCAGGTGTGATGGCTGCTAGAGGAATGCTAGAAAACCCAGCAATGTTTGCTGGTTATGAAACAACTCCTGTAAATTGTATCAAGGACTGGGTAAGTAACTTTTGTATGGAAATTCATTCTTTTTTACTGTTAAAAAATTTGATAGACAACTCCTCACTTTTGTATTGAGAGGTGCTATTCACTTGAATGTACAGTTTTAGAGATTGCTAGTGGTGGACGCCACTAGAGGACATTTGGTCCTTAAGGTTGTAGTAACCTGCGTGCCAAGTTAACTGAAATCATGATGTGTTGATAAGGAAAATCTATCCTCGGGATTCAGTTCTCTTCGACACCTCATCTAACCTCAAACAAATGGACAAATTATATAAATGGAATAAATAAAATCTATGGCTATTGTTCCATAACACTTTTCTCCAGAAACCTTGCTGAGCAGGCGATACATCCACTTCATTGCATTCTTGTTTTAATCAAAGATTTAGTAGATGAAGCAAATTTTGTGGAAAAGACCAGGCATGAAATGCCCATCTTTGGTTAAATGATGAGCTTGGGAGTTTGTGAAAATTAACGCCAATGCATTTAACATCATCAATTTCCCATACTGTTTCAGAGAAACCAATTCTTCAAATTTCTCATGGATTACATTGTTTTGAATTTTATTGGTGTGTCAGTGCATTAGGTATTATGGTGGAATTAATACTTAAGTGAAAGTGATATTTCCCAAGTACTTTACAAGTAATATCCAGCTCTTTGACACCATTAAGGTATATTTCTGTACATATACTCCTGTAGAGTGAAAGGAATCACATTTTAGGCAAGTACCACAAATTTCTTGTGATATTTAAATTCTGAAGTTAGCAGCTGTAAAACAAAGTTGGTTTGCAGTGTATTGAGATATTTTTCAGTGACAAACTTTTAGGAATTATTTTGATTTGTATAAAGGTGAGCAATCAACAAGTTTTCATAATTTTTTTTGTTTTCCTAGATTGAGCTGTCCTTATCTGTCGGGACACCTTTCCAGTGTTTCCATAACCACCTGATCTATATGATGGAAAAAGCTTTACCTCGGTCAGAGAGACGGATTTTCAACTCCCTTTGTAGTACAACAGCAGTGTTAGACTATATGAACCACAACTACAACATCAGTATATGATACTATTAGCTTTAAGGACTATTTATTTGTACGTTGTCAACATAATCTTATGCAATGTTTTGGTCAGATCATAGCTAAACATAGTCCAAAGTGAATGTTATGTTTCATTTTACTGACACTCATAAAGGTTTTGAACCAATTGCTGACCCTGCAGTTTATGTATATTAATCTATAAACTAATTGTGAAACAAGTTCTATCAGTTTGTATTAATCACTGTTGTAAGTCAGACTTTTTCTGAAGAAAGGAAACTAGGATTGAAAGGAAATTGTTAATGAAAGTACTGAAATGACTGAGACGCTGAACACTTCAAATGTGAGATATCACCCATTCTATGCAGAACAATGAAAATTTTTTATATAGGACAACTATCAACAGCCAAATTTTATTTTTTTTTTCTAAATCAGTAATTTAAGCTCCAAAACAAATAAATGCCACTGGCAATTAGTATTTGATATTGGACCCAAAAATAACCTAAAAATGACTAATTATATGTTATAATTATAATGTCTGTGATATGACACAGAAGTTCAGGTCCTGGTACTGTAAATGACCTTGTTCTTATTCCTTATAATATTACCATTGTATGCTATGTATGATATATTTGAAAGCACATATAACATTTCCCATGACACTACAGTAGTTGTTAATTTTTTGTAGACCATTTCTTTTCGGAAACCTGTGGAATGATTTAAATTCTCCCTGAAACAACGCTCCTTGTTGTTCTGAGTGTGGGTAGCACAAGCCTTAACACAGAACATCAGATCTAATCACATGCTGTACCATCATACATGCCTTTTAGAATCAGTCTCATTAATCACAAGGCACTAACAACACAACCATTTGTGAAAAGTTCCACTTAGGAGGGGCTGCTCTCTCCCTGTAGCCATACTCTAACTGGTCCCACATTAGGTTCCTCATTTTTGCTGGTTCATGGGGTCTACTTGACACAACCAATTCATCTAACTGATCAGTTCTTTGGAATTTTATCATTTCTTATAAAAATTGTTCCAATGACTGGTTTCATCTTCCTCATCCGATGAAGATGAAGCATTCTTGCAAAGAATTGATGTTATGAATGATTATAGAACACGTTGGATGGGAAATGGAGTCCTGTTCTGATGGAATATTTTTCAGTAGGGTCTGGTACAACATCGTCAACGTCTTCAGTGAACCATTGCCACTATCAGTGACCTTTCTGACTAAATTAGTTTTTTTTCCTTTTTGTTGGCACCTGGTAGGGTTCAGTCTACTTGTGACACCCTGATATGTATTGGTTAGCTAACGTTCTGTAAGTCTAGCTAACTGTATATTATCATAATTTGGGTTCTCACTCTTAATATTATCAATTCCTAGCTGAGTGTCTATGTACAAAAGTAGAGAGTGGTTTACCAGAGCTTGTCCATCTGCTGCATGTGTAATCATTCTACTCGTAGGCAGCACTGGGTGTGTGGCCGAGGGGGGGGGGGCGAGTATAACCTTGGAGTAAGTTGCTCTAGTCGGTATACGGTAGGGGATTTCATACGGGCTACTGCATCGCTATTATCAGGTAACATGTGGTCTGTGAATGGGGGGTTGGCGTGGGTGTACACTGGTGTCCGAGGGTTTGTCCCCATCAATAGGTCAAATAGTGACCGTAATCCTGTGACAGACTAGCCTTCTCTCCTACTGCAAATGAAAAGGGTCTAGTTGAAGTTGAAATCCCCATTTAACAACCTTGGGCTCTACGCCTGACAATGTTGACACGTTGTCCCGTATATACCTTCTAGTCTTTGGCATAGCCCGCAGTATGGGCCCAGAACAGTTACCTCACTGTCGGACAAAGATGTTGGTGCACCTCATTAGCAACAGGCTGTGATTCACTGTCCCATAATAACCATACTAGTGCAGATTAACTATGTTTAGTCTGTGACTAGCTTCTCATTTAATTAGAACCTCTGATTAGTTGAAATTTTAATGTTGTCCAATTTCCATGCAATTTCACATGTACATGAAGGTGTATTTTGATGTTACAAAAGATTTCAGGAGGGTCGGGACGGAATAGTTTGATTTCCCCTATTGTTCGCAATTGAAATTTTAACTATCATCATTTCTAGTTACCTTCGGTAGATTAGGTCAAGTTTAATGGTTGACATGTTTCGACACACTATTTCCTCAGAAGAAGTCCTCGAAACATGTCAACCATTATGGCTGTTCTGGTGTTTCAACGTTTTTGAAATTCCGCCTTTAGACTACTCATTACTGAACCATTATCCCGGATATTGGATCTCTTTTCTTTTGTATTATCATCATTTCTGTTATTTCTTACATATTTTATGTCAGCCAGATGTCTTTCAAAACTATTGGATGGAATTTGACTGATTTTTACACTAGTGTCCGTGCATGAGAGGCAGTTTGCCAGAGCCTTTTCGTTGACTGGCTATCTTTGCCTGATTTGTCAAAATTCATCCAAAATTTAGATATTGTATATATGATGACATCAATTTTTGATTAGACAAGATGGCAGTCCCATCATCGCTTCTGATTGAGATTTACATTTCGTGCGATTTCCATGAATACCCATGAATACCTGAATCACAATGGTGACGTTCATTTTATGATTGGACAAGATGGCCACCACATAGTGGTTTCTGATTGGGTGAAATTTCTCCTAACTGGTTATCTGCGACCTCTGATAGATCAAAAGTTATTCAAAATTTAGATACTGTCCTGTTTCTATGAAAATTGTTTTGTATGTGTGGTTTTACATCAGAAACACAACAATGACTTTTGATATCTGATTGGAAATGATGGCCACCACAAAGTGGCCTCTGACTGATAAAATCACACGAATCCTTCACCCCAGTAAGCTACATGCGAAATATCACATCCTGGACCATGTGGTTATTTAAAAGTAAGTTTTTGAAAGGAAGAATTGACGCCTGACAGATGCCACACAATGGCATGAGCTCACCTACCCTTTGGCGAGGCGAGTTAATAATGACAGAACTCCAAACAACTTCAAGTACTTGAAATGAGCCACAAACAACAAAGACTAAATTCAAAGTTTCTGGCACTCTTTACTGCAAAAAAGCTTCCCTTTGCATTGTTCATTTAAGATTCAAAAAATATAACATAGCAACAAAAATTTACAATCTCCAGCATTTTTTAATTATCACATGTAGAGATATTATCCTCTACCACAAATACATATACAAACTCCATGGAAACTAGCGTTTCTCCATGGGTCTAGTGTAACATTCTTCAATCTCTTTATTAGCTATGAATTTATATCATATTTATATATTTGCAAGTTTTCAAAAAATTGCACATTTTTTGCACTTTTTGTGCCATCATATCGCTGAGAAAGGTGTCAATAAACGACCATCAAATGGAATAGGACTAGTTCTTTGATAGCAACAAACTGAAATAATATTTCAACTTTACAAATTTTTCAAATTAATTTTTATAGGCTTAATAAACCTATATCACATCCTAGCTATATTTCAAATACTTTTTCTCATTGTCAATAGTTTCCCACTTTGTCAAAGACAACCCTGATACCCAGAAAACTATCAGTAAAAGTCAAACTTTTCCCACAGACAAAATCAATATAAAGCAGACATACACTGTGTTTAAATTCTTACAAGATACTGTTAAAAATCTGCAATGGTTGTTATTGATACACACGTCTTTTCTCCTTCCAAACAGAAAAAAAAATAATTTTGTAATTAGACTGATGCTATTTCTTCTTGGAAATCATCTAGACCAAAAATAAAATGAGGCAAAACAGCAAATTGATGAATTTCTACATAAAACCAGCCACACAAGTAGACTTCCAAAATCTACTCAATCTATTACTACCTAACATAACTTACATTCAAATACAGCCAGAAAGTTTGGTATATAATTTTCTCATTTACTGAGTGTGTAAAGATAAGTATACAAGAGTATTGAAAATTTGAGCAAATGGTTGAATCTAATAGGCGTGTAATAGGGAAATGATTCACTAATAAAAAGACTGCTGAACGGAAGCTTTAAAACATCTAGTTTCTTTCTTAGTACAGAAAATCAGCACATATGTAAGATTCTTTTCAAAATGGGAATGATAAGAACATACAAGTATACAGTAAACACATGGTAAAACTTGTATATTCGCCAAACCAGATTACATCAAATAACAACACCAATGATATGTCATGTACACTGGCTTTCTTGACTTTGTTCCAGTTGTTACATTCCTGTTTTAAAATTTGTTTGGAAAAAAACTTTATCTATACTTGAAAATTCATATCCAGATTTTTCTCAGTCCAATATGAAAAAAAAAAAAGGTTGTACAGCAAAGATCATTTATATGTTTTGTAGGTAATGCCAAACAATAAGCATATATGAATAACTAGTCAAGAGTATTGAAAACTAGTGATCTTGTGCTGTATACCACTGTGTAAATTGTTCTAATCTAAATCCCACAGGAACCTTGGCATCCACTACTGTTTGATCTTGATCTTTCCCCTATCATCTTATTTCCGGTCTGTTCTAAAATTGAACATGTAAAACTAATCACCCATAGAAACCTACATTTGAAAATGATCCATCCAGTAATTCTCTAGAATAATAGCCAACAAAACCCGTCAAAATTAAAGACGGCAGCCTGTTTTTTTCATCAATCCCAAAATTAAACATGTATATCCAGGACTGAGTGAAGTCTACATATGAAATCTGTGAAAGATCCACCTGGTACTTCTCAAAAAACAGCATAACAAATTTCAACTTTCAAAATCAATTATGCCTGCCAGTCAGTCAATTTGTTATTTTAATCAGCCTCAAAATGGCAATGACAACTAGAGACCAAGGGGAACAACCACATGAATTTTTTCCTCATTAGTAGTTATTACTTGTATGGATATGATCAAGAATGTATACCTCTACAACATTTAGGACTAGCAATACTTCTACTGCCACCATTATATTACCGGGACTTGTCTTTTCGACAAAGTTAACAATATGTATAACAGCAATGAAATGAGAAAATGAAAGATGACTTGACATATGTTAACAGTTCTTACTTTGTAACAATAGATTTTCACTTAACAACATTACAGTTTTAGTCCAAGTGTAATAAAGGTAACAGGTATGAACTCTTTTATCATGTGTTTAACAATAAAAGTACTTAAAGCTGAACAAAACGTAAATGTATTTGCAAATCACAAAAAAATGCAGAATTGAAATGCACATACATAAAATAAATTTTGACAAATTACGTCATTTAATAATACTGAATAATTTCAGTCAAACACCTTGGCAATGTTGTCAAAGCATATTCCACCTAATAAAACACTACCCACACTTGGTATTGTTTCTCTCCAAAATATTATGGGGATTCTTCATTCTACTTTGAAAGATAATCTTTTTTAATAAATTGATGATGGTTTTTAATTTCTTCTGTTCTCAAATAAGATGCAAATAGCATGCACAATATTGCATATTATGTACAGCACTGGAGTGTGTAAAGATGCAGGGTGGTTAAAATTTCTCTTTTAAACAATAGCAATAGGTGTAAAGCTTAAGTCTAAAAATGGATGATTTCCAAGTGCATAATGACCAATCAAATTTTCTAAATTCATGTAAATATTGTGCGAAGTTAAAATTTCAGGAATGATTTGTGAAACACAATACACAAGAGATGACCATTTATAAAACTTGTTTGAAGATTCAAGCATTATGGTACACATTATACATCTTCAATTACACAATCATGGATGAGAAAATGCATAAACAACACGAGAAATCCCAGAGGGATTCCGGCGACCACCATATTTAGGTCTTTCTTTGTTCTTTAAAAGTGGGACTTTTCCCTTTATGTTCTTTTCTTTCCTTTGCTCTTGCTTTTAAACAAATGAAATTTGAAAATTCCTCCAAGAAACTCAAAATAGTTGCATTTGTTTTTCTGGTCAGTCTAAAAATCAAAAGGGTAAAACTTGGGGCAAAGGGAAACCAGCATACCTATGAAAAATTGAGAAAGATCTAATCACAACTTCTCAAATAGCAACAACAAACTTTCATTGTCAATATTTAAGAGATGGCTTCCTGTGGGCCATTTTCTTTTCCTGATCATACATTTATGTTCTCAAAATTCAATGGGCACAACTAGGAACCAAGGCGAACCTACGCATGAAATTTGTATTTGTCAAGAAATAGCATCAACAAGGATTGTTTACAGATGACAATCCATGGACATAGGGCAATTGGAATAGCCCATCTGATGATGGTGGGCTTTCAAATCAGGTAAATGATTTCCATGGCTTTAAAAGAAAAAAATGTCATCTCGAGCTAACCTTTTTAGAAATTCTTGGCAATATATGATCATGTGCAAAAGAATGCCTTCTTTTTCATCCACTTTTAATGGCACATGGATTTAATTTTACAGAAGGTAATGTTTGTAAACACTTCTGTTAAGATTACATTCAAAATGTTCAGAAAATTTGTAACTTAAAATTGTTTGATGAAATGAAAATTAATACACCACACTATATTAAGACTATTAATCATGTAGTTCTGGATTTCTTTATTTCTTAAAACATTATGGATAATATATCTAATGGCTTAATTTTCTTCCGTGGCAAATCAATTATACATACGGGATAAAAAATCTATCAAGCTGACAGTGCAAATTAAACTGCTATCCGATTCAATTTATCACCGAGTAACAAAAGATTCCTGATGGACCTTGGTTCAGGCCACTGTATGATCTTCATCAGTATTTTAGCAGTGTCCTTTCTTTTCTCTACTTTCTAATCTGTTCTCAAATGAAATGAGTCACCCAGGAGGACCTACATATGAAATCTAAAAATGATCCAACCTGTTATACTCTTAAAAAAAAAAAAACTATAAGAAACCATACCTGTCAAAATCCATGACAGCAGCTTGCCTGCTTTTTTTGTTATCCGATCAGATTGCAAAATGGACAATACAAAATAAGAGACCAAAAGGACTCTACATATGACAAGAGGCCCTTAGGGCCTTTATCGCGTACCTGATTTTGTTCATGAAAATCACTGCATCTTAACTAAATGAAAACCATTAAATGAGTTTACCCATGTCCCCTATTAGGCCATATCCCTCTGCCTCACAGAAATCGGATGCACCAATTACACACAAAAAGTTTACGTCATCCTAAGTTGCTTCAGACCCAAATTTTGGCAAAGTTCAATCATTCCTAGAGTATAAGAACAAATTTAAATAACCTGTAGTATTTTCCATCATTTGCAAAAAAAAGTATTTCTCTTCAGCCATGAATGCTTCAGATAAAATTTGGATAGAATCTAGATATTTCTACAGAGGAAGGATTTTAAAGAATTGGCTCTATTTCCAAATGCTTCAGACCAAATTTGCATAAATCTGATCAATTCTACAGGAGGGGAAGGATTTTTATGAACTTATAAAATGACCCCTATTGGGCCCTGTCCTTCCTGCCCAAGGGGGCCCCAAGACCCATTGTTATACAAAATTGATTCCCCTTCAAATTTGGTCCAAATCTGCTCAGTTGATCATTACTAGTATTGACATGCAAAGAACAATTGACAGACAGTCAGACAACAGATGACCACTGTATACCCTTCCAGCCCAGAAGAGCTAAAAATAGAGATTAATCCATCTAGTACTTCCTACTAAACTTTATGTGTTTAAATCAAAGATGGTCATCTGTAAGCCATTTTGTTTTCCTGATCTGGCCAAAAATGAACAACTCACAACTACTGACCAAACTTAGCCCACATCTGAAAATGATCCATCAAGAAAAGATCAACTTGAACAAACCATCTTGTGATGGTAGATTTAAAATGTTGCTCACAGACTGCAAGTCCAAACCAGAATGAAAGAAGTGATATTTTATTTGTTATTCTTTCATCAAAACTGAAAGCTCTTAAGCTGTACATCAACATTGGATGTGAGAAAGAAAAGAGATATATTCAAAATTGAATCTGATATTCCAATGAAACACTTCAAATATCGGTAACAAACAGATTGTCATTTTCATTTTGCTTTACCCATTATGAAATAAAAGAGGAACAAAAAAGATGAAACAAGTTGATCAGTAAACATTAGCATTCAACTACTAACAATACACCCTGTGATGGGTGATTATAAATGGTAAGTGACATAATGGTTTAATTTGATTACAATTTCCTGGTTGGATACACATACATGTATATGCAAAATACAAATATAATCATAATAATACTTTTTGTTACATGGCCCTTGAAGGACCATTTTGTTCCCTCTTCACCAGAGACAGACCAACATCAATAATTTCATTATCTTGTCAAGTCTGTTTGAATGAATGCAAGTTATCATATATAGTAGCTAGGTGCATAAAACACTAACATATGAAAGACCTTTGGCAAAGAATGAGTTAACTTGACAAGTCCTTGGCCTGTGTGGGCCCAGCCTGGGTTGTAGTGCTCTGTGTAGTGGTGTAGTTCATATTTGGTAAAAGTGGATACTGACTGTATGGATTGCTCTGTAGTATTGGCATAAAGCTTGAGGAGGGCAGGTATAGCGAACTCCCTTGAGGAAAATTGCTAGGCACTTGCGTTTGGACAGAAGTAGGAAGTAGCTGGCCTCCTCCTGAAAACTGAAAGCTTGGGCTGTAAAACAATGGTGCTTGTTGTTGCTGATACAGAAACTGAAGTTGTTGCGCAGATAACTGTGCAACATTTTGTTGCTTCGGCTGTAAACTTCCCCCACTGGTGCCTCCAGGATACGAAGACATGTCTGTACTAGTTTTCCTACTGACAGAAGTACTAGAATTCAGTTTTGTGTCACTTTCTTCTCCTTCTTCCGAACTAAACATTGTGTTTTTGATGCTATCAGTGCAATCAAGTTTTTGGTCTGAACTTTCCCCACTCTCTAATGATTCTGTTCTATTGACAAGACAGTCTGCATTTACTTGATGTGAAGAAGAATTAGAAGACAACTGTTTGCTGGTGTCATCAACTGAAGGTGGAGATCTGTCACTACCCTCAGACTGCCTGTTATCCAATAGCACATTCTGACATTCTTTGGAAGAGGTTGTTTCATCCAATGGCAATGCCACCTTTGACTTTGATTTCTGAGCACTCTCTGAAAACTTTGAAGACGAGAGTATACTTCCTGAAGAAGACACAGAAGAACATGATGACACAAGCTGGGTTGCAAGAGGATTTGGAAGCGTTGCAAAATTTAAGGGACTTAGCATATTTCCATTGCCACAGCGGCCAATGCCTGGAAGAGGTGGCGGTGGTGGCGGAGGAGGAGCAGGAATCATAAATTTGAACTTGTACCCTTTGGTTTTCATGAAATCTTTGAGTTCATCATCCTGCTTTTTATGAAGTTGTGTCATCAAATCTCTAAGTTCAGTCATTTCTTCTCGATGCCTGAAATTATGAACAAAACATACATATAGCATAAATAGACATGGATACTGTGCTGATTTGAAACACCATGGAGTTAAAGCTCATACTTCATACCATTGATGTTAATCAAATCATGGTTTAAATGTTTAGAAATGAACAAGTGGCCCATATGGTATGTAATGCTCATCTGGTTCGCTCCGCTTAAATAGCTTCACCAAAACTAAAGGAAAAGCTAATAAATATCAAAGCACATTTAACAACATATCTATTTCCCAATGAGCTCCAACTCTGTCCCTGGGGTGTCAGCTAAACTATTAATGTTTCTGACCAATATGAGACAGAAACCTGCCATTCCTACAGAAGGAGGGCTTCAATTTCGTACACAGCAATGTATATGCTAAGTTTCATGATCTTTCCTTAACTGTGATCAAAGTTATGCTACAGACAAGAAATTGGGGAAAAAAGGTGCAATAACTCTGTAATTGCGGGGTTGAGAGCCCTGAATTTGGTACACTGCACACATGATCAATATGATCAATGTATCCACAAAGTTTCAATGTCCTTGATTCAATGGACGCAATTTAATGTTGTGCTCTAGACACAAAATTTTAAAAAGAGCAATAACTCAAATTAACTCAAATTGTGCTCTAGACACAAAATTTAAAAAAGAGCAATAACTCAAATTAAGAAGCATGATCAAGGTACACACCAAGTTTCATTATCCTAGCTTAAATGCAAGCAAATTTATGCTCTGGAAACAAAATTTTAACGAAAGGTAGTAACTCTGCAATTTAGGGTCGAGGGCCTTGAATTTGGTAAACGACACATCGCCTTAGTAAACACCAAATTTCATGTTCTTTGCTCAACTGCGGTGAGTTGTGCTCCAAACACTTAAGAACAGACAAATAGACATGGATGCAACTATATGCTCCACAGACAAATTATGGGGAGCATGAAAATTTATTTCTTTATACCCAAGAGTGCTGCAGACCCTATTTTGACAAAATCCAATTATTCCTATATGAGTTTGATTTAAAATAATTTACTCCTTTTCCCACATTGGACCACGTCCCTCTCACCGCGGTGGGGAAAGATCCAGCAAATTGGACAAAATCCTATCATTCCTACTGGAGGAGTAGGCTTTAACAGAATTCTGCCTTCAAAATATTTACTATACCTCAACATCATGGTATTGTACTCCGGGTCTTTAAGCAAACGTTGATAGGAATCATCTTTTACTTCCTTCTCTCTTGTTTCTGACTGTATTGATGTCTCTTTACTTATAGAATCATTATCATATCCAGCTTCCAGGAATTCTTTCTCCATCTGTTCTTCCTCTATTACTTCACAATCTTCAGCAGTGGAAGTGTTTTTCTGTTCACCATCTTGCTTCTGACAAAACAACAGCAACATTTAACTTAAAAGGTGATAATGTCGATGTGCTAGAAGTAAACACACCATCACAAAGTAATCAGAAAACAGAAAATTAAGCAAAACCAAAACAAATCATCTCCAACATCTGACATATTGCTATTAGCAAAAAGAAGAAAAAAAAACAGGCATTAACTGGCACCTTAGTTAAAATGCTGTCATTCTCATTCATGGGGGAGGGGGTTTGAAATTGGGGCATTTGTCCATTTTAAACCCCACTCCCAAGGCCCCCTGGGTGAGGGACCATATAATTCACAATTTTAGTTTGGTTCACCTTTAGACATGGAAGGTTTCTGCAAAATTTTATTCAAACTGGTTCTGGGGTTTTCCAAGAGAAGTGGAATGTGTTAATAGTTTACAATGCCTGACACCAGACAAAATGACACAATAAGTCATTATGAAACTTCTTCTCAGGTGACATAAGTAATTTTTTTTAAAAAAAAGAAGGGAATGGAAGCTCAATTATACAATTAACAAATACTAATTTCACCCACTTAGAAATAAATCACATATATTTACTACCCCTAGGAATGGTAGTTACACAATATCTATGTGAGCAAATGATGAATCAATATAAAAAACAACAGGGAAATTAAAGATTATTAACAGTTGAAATACTATCAAGTACATATTTCTGTATGTTATAAATATGGAGATAGACAGGATAAAACTCAATAATAACACATGTTAGAAATCAATTAGAATGTATTGGTGAAAAACAAAAGGTGCCATTTTGCTAATCTGAAGTCTTCACACAACCATCCTTCAAACAAAATTCAACTAATTATGCCACAACAAAGTAATTAGGTTTTCAGGAATCAGACAAACTCACAAATCACACTTTAAATATCAACCTGTACCCTTATCGGAGTGATGATGTTGACATTTGCTCTTAAACATGACATGTATGCTGGAGTGCTCCCCACCTACCATAAGGATTATCTTTAGTACACTGCTCTCTGTTTTAACTTTTAGACTACCAGACAAACACCATATGAAATATCAACATCAGAGTGTAATTCTAGGCTGTATGATAGGTCTGTTAGCTTGTACGGAAATGGGCAAGTAGTTTTTACACTTTTACGTCATCACTTTCCATCACACAAAACCCAAATGGTATGCTAATGTGAGATTTAAATGTAACAACTGTCACTTGCAATGTCAATTATGACTTCCCCAATATTGTTTTTTGGCGATACTAATAAATAGAGATAAATCTGGAAACAATGTGATCCAGAATTACAGCAGGCTTACCATAATACAGAAAAAATACCATGAACTGAACTGTACCATTTGATCTGTGATATATAATCCAATGGATTACTAATGCACCACTACCACCAAGTCAGAGTTCACTTATCGAAATTTGTGCTTTGTAGTGATAATTCATGCAAAAACTAGTTGAAACCTACCAAAGACCTCTATATAGATAAACTTAAGGGAAATACATTTGAAATTTTATTAACCTAACATATCTTATTCTTTACACCACACACTATTCAATCCCTACATGTTTACATCAAATGTGTTCAAACAACGCAAATGACTATTCAAGTGGTCATCAGCTGCAAAGTTGGAAACCAATTGATATCATAGCACTTTTTCTACTGAGATTGAAGAAGAGAAATGTAGAACTATAATATCAATTGCAAGTGAAATGATGATCTATGATGAAACCTTTATCATGATTAAACAGAACACAAAAAAGGTATTGGTTATAAAAACATGTTAGTTCATGATTAGTGTATGTTCTGTTCCAGGACTACCACTAATATCCTCTGGATTATACTGGGTTGCTTTTTTTAAAATTAAGTTTCATGTACCTTGAATTCGCTCGACGATAAACTTGGCAACACATTGAGTAATGCTGGTGATGTTTGAATACCACTATCTACACTCCTTAATTTGGGACCCATCCCTTGATAAGAAATATCCTCTGAAAAGGAACCATCCGATTCCAACTCCTGTTCAAGTTTGGCATCTTTGACCTCCTTGTGCTCGTGGTGACCAATAGTAGGATTACTGGCATTGCCACACTCAGGGCAGTGAGTATACGACAGATCAAAGCTACCAGTTGATTTGATCCGACGTCGTAAAGGATAATGCTGTTTTGAATATTTTTTATCGTTAGCACATGCAGGAAAAGTAGAAACCATATTGCTATCACCAACAAAAAAGTTCATGCATTTTTTCTGATTACTTACTAGATCAGAGATAATAAGTTGACTAGAATCAGAGGGATCTTTAATACTAGAAGCCCCACCACCATCAGCCAGAGAATCAACCACCACCTCATTCATAGACTGTGATGGTCCTTCTTCTGTCTTCTTTTCCTCTGAAACTTTAGTTACAAGAAAACGACTTTTCCTCTGACTTTTTGGAGTTTCTTCTGAAGTTGACCTCATTGTTATATCATCATTTGCAACATTGTTCAATATATTTTCTAATGTTGCTTTAACATCTACATCATCATTTTGTTCACATTTCGTTGTGTCTGCAACATCAGAAGAATCAGGAACATCCTGATTAGCGAATGTGTCCTCATTCACTTTACTAACACTAAATCTTGATTGTTTAACAGCTTCAGCTTGCTTAGATACTATTCCTAAATCACCGTCCTCCCTAAAATCACCTGCACTACCATCATCAGACAGCTGATCAATTTGCGAATGAGAGGCATCCGTTACAATGTCCAATCCCAATTTCTGGCCATCCTGCCCATTAGCACCAAGCGAATCCTTCTCTTTAGTTCTGCCATGTATTTTTTTCAATCCCTCCTCCAGACTCTTAATGCTGTACTCAGCTTTTTTTGGCATGGGAGAAGGGAGATCTGCCCCATCTACCTGGTCTAGTCGTTTTCTACTTTGCGAGGGTGAAGTTGGCTTAGAATCACCCATTGGTGCACCACTTTCACCAGTAGATGGAGGCAGCGGCTGCTGCTGACCTGGCGCTTGTTGAGCTGGTGCTGTCTGCATCTGAGGATAAAAGCCCATCTGTCCTGGTGGCATGAAAACTGGAGGCATGAACATCTGTGGTCCAAATTGATTTATGGACTGGGCATTAGGTTGTTGCACTTGCTGATTCTGTTGCTGTTGTTGCATTTGCCTCCAGGCGATCTGCTGCAAAACCTGCTGATTATAGAATTGCATCTGCAACATGTATGGATCAGCTGAATACAGTGGTGGAGGTGGCATCATCATTCCAGGGTACTGTGCAAACATCTGTTGCTGTTGTGGCATATTACCAATACTGGAGTCTAAATTTTGCCCCTGGGTCATATACTGTGGTACTGCTTGAGAAACACCTTGAGGAGTTTGGCTTTGCCCTTGAAATTGTTGCTGAAAACCAGGCAGACCTGAAGTATCTGAAGACTGCTGAGGTTGTGATTGCACTGTTGCCCCAGACACACTCTGTGGAATTTGTTGTTGAGTTTGTGCTTGTGAGGTTTGAACAGATTTAGGCTGTTGTTGATCTGACTGAGGCAGTTTTCCCTGGTTTTGGACATCTACCATACTACCATGAGTGTCAGCAACAGGTGTTGGTGCAGTTCCACTTCCCGTTGTTTGAGTTGGGAATGGAGTACCTTCAGGTAATTGAAGAGAACCTACACCTTGACCTGGGACAGATTTCTGTGTAAGTTGATTAAGTTTTTCATTCAGATCACTGATGTCCACAGGAACTTTTGATGACCCCTTTAATGATTTTTCGGAATCGGAAAGTGCTGAGCCATCACCATCTACAGGATAATGGTTAACTGTTGTAGTGCTGGAAGATGGCAAAGATTTCTGTGTATTTTCAGGAGACACATAATTGTCCCATTCCCCTCCATCATCCTCAGAAATTTTGGAATCTAGCACAGTCTTTTCTGGTACTCTGCTTACAATGAAGCTTCTGTTTTTACTTTCAACCACACGCGATTCCTCTGTTTCAGTTGCCTCATCATGTTTCCTCTCAGTTATGACATGAACTCCAACCTCAGTTCGACCATCATCTGATGTTTGCTCTAGTTCACAATCAAAGAGTTTCTGAAAAGAAAATTGAAATTGATTTTATTGCTGTATCTAAGTAATCTGGTATATAAATAGAAAACTTCTGAAAGCAAAGACTATTCCAGTAATAAAATATCAGAATATCGTTTTAAATTCATATTCAAATTTTCATAAAATCATCATTTCATTTCTAAATCAGGACAATGCTTTGTAAAAATCTATGTGATTTATCAACCTGCTTTAGAATAGCAATGCACTAAAGGAACCTATTAAATGTTAATGAAATGATTTCAAGATATCTATTTTGAATTATTGAAACAAAAATACTCAGCAATATTATTGTCATAGAAGTGAAAAAATCAAGAGTACAAGTTACCATTAATATATGCTAGTTCTGTGTACCCTCAAATAGTTCCATAGTAAACTTATGTCCTCCTTGATTTTACTCTATATTAAATTCAAATTTTGCAACTGCTCCTGGTAGCTTTTCTGAGCAAATGGCTTGTATAACATTTTTATAGCAGAGTATTTTTTTTATTATATCAACACATTGCCATTTATTTGTTACAAACTACAGTATGAAAGGAGTAGACATTATCATTGTTTATCAAATATTTCGTTGAATTGACATAAACTATAACTGTTTATCTGCTCACCATGTCAAATGTGCAAGTTATCACTAACTCAGTCTATCCTTGTGTATACAAGTTATACGTTTTCTGGATTTATTGTGAATATAAACTTCTGTATATTGATACGTCTTTATCACTTTTGGTTTTTAAAATCATAAATACATTATAACCAAAATAGATCTTACTGAAACTTCAGATTCACACAGGGAAAGAGTTATCCAACTTTTCAATTTCAATAATATGTCAGGAAGGAGCAAACAGACACATGGAAAAACAATTTAAGTGAAATGAAGGGAAAAGATGAATTAAAAGTGTAACAAGCAAATTTATGGAATTTACATCCTTCATTTTCAATTACTAATTCGTAACTTCGTAAGGCAACTGAAGTCAAGCTAAATGATGATAAAATGATCTGTAAACCTATTTTCCTTGAAATCCATTGAAATTCAGCAAAGGTAGCATGGAAACAAATTGGCTAAGTAAGTTCCAAATGAAGGGATAAATATCAATGGAAGACGTTGATAGTTCAATTCTGGCCAGTAGGATATCAAGATAAACCTGCAACCAAATCTGATAAAAATCCATTCACGTTTACCAAAATCATCAACAGAAACGAACTGGCCAACAAGAAGTGAAGTACCTCATTTAATATGCTTCAATGTCAACAAAGTCAGAAGTTAAACACCAGCTGTAAGATAGTAAGGAACACCTTCAAACCCGATTTGATTGAAATCCATTCACATTTGCGAAGTCATCACACCAAAACAAATTGGCCAATCAGAAATGGAGTATCTTGAACTCGCTTATTATGATATTTCATTTTCAAGTTAAAAACATCATAACTAACATAGCAAGCTCTTAAGGTTGCGAGAACTGGAACTGAAACTACGATAATAGTCAAACCTATTCCTGTACAAAAAAATAAAATTTGGGCTAGATCAGCTAAAAATTTGGTAACCAGTGTACACTTATCAACATCTTTCTTGTTCTAAAATTATGTTGTCAGCACTGACTTTGTCTGGCACAAACAAAAACAAAATAGTGTAGAAAATACAAGTATACATTTGGGTGACAATAATAATACATGATTTGGCAGGATGGACATTGGTATTGTGTATTAAGTATCTCATAATTGAATAATGTATAAATTCAATTGTTAGATCTTTAAATTGATAACTGGACATATATTACCATCTGCTATTGAATATTGGTTGTTGAGCACACAATGAAACAAATAATGGAATACATCATCAATCTCTCTATATCAAATATTGTATATTGAGATTCAGCTAGGTCTCCAGTTGATGTCAAAATCTATACTAGTATATATGTAATGTGATGTCCATTCACAGTCTTCAAAAGATGCCTTTAAAATTTCTTCACAATGAAATCCAATAAAAATGAAATAATGAAAAGAACTGCACAGCACTAAAATATCTCAATGAATTCCATATTCTATCTCCACATGGTAAACTAGACCACCAACCACTTTGAATGGGTAGCTTAGCATCGCATATTCTAAATTTACAATGTGCTTCGGCTAGTTTCGAATGGTGTTCCAGTGAAGTAATTTTCTAATCCAATGTTCTACGACTGAATCACATCAGAAATAGAAATGACCTCCAATCAAACATAAATTTTCCTGTATGTTTATGAAATATGATTCTCTTTAGCCTATCTATGCAATACAGGCTATTTCAAGTACCTCTGGTGATTGTGCTTATAACTAACAAATGTCAATACTGAGCAGAACAAAGTTCTTAACCAATTTTCATGTTTTATTTTATTATAATAAATGGATTTTTGTAGCTTATTTGAGGAATATTCAGTACAATGGAAAAATATCATCTCGGGTTATCACAATATCCAAAATCATAAAAAGTGGGTTCTACTTTAGAATACATTATTCATTATGCATTCATGTCAACGAACACAATTAGTAGTCAAACTCAGGCTGAAGGATATCAAAATACTTGCAAACCAAATTTGATCCATCTATTCACATTAAGCGAAGGTATTACACAGAAACTAAAGTGGAATGGCGAAACAGACAGATGGACAGTCCCAAATTAATACACCCCCTCCCAGCAGTATCATGAAGTGAGAAACTTGAAACAACAAAAAACATAAAAGTCACAGGAGTTTCAAATCAACCCTTTTAAATATCTTTTTTATTACAGGAAACATTTATCATCCTAATGATAACACAATACTTGATGAAATATGAGGTGAGAGTTGAAATTCAGCTTGATGCAAAAAATAAAGAACATAAGCCTAAGTGAAATAACCCACGTATACTGTATGGTTTATCTAAACAAAAGGCATCAGCGTGTAAATCTTGAAGCTTACATGCAACATAAGAAATACTCTAATGATATAGTAACCTAATAAGGTAACACACCTTCAAGTATCTTCGCTTCCATAATCCTCTCATTTTGTTTTTCCAAACCTTCAGCAATAATAGGCAAAGAAATCAAATTATCACCCTTGTTTTTTAATGGAAATTATGGAAAATTAAAGAACTCTATAACACCAACCTCTTGCATTTCTATCAATGATTGGGAAAGAACTATTTCTTACAATACCTGGAACTTGCTTTTTAAAAATCTATATACACATAAAAAATTCCACAAACAAAATGAGATCAAACATTATAAACATAACTGCCTAATATATTTCAATATTCTAGAAGAACTGTATTGTATACACTGTGAAGAGTTCTAAGTGTGCATGTACAATCCTTATGGTAGACATACCTTTGCAGCATCTGAATCAGTAGGTGGCCTTGCCTTTCTGATAGAGCTTGGACTAGATGATGGGGTGCTCACATAACTTAGACAGACATGCACAGCCTTAACTGGATCCTCTGTCACCATTTTGATTACTTCTTGTAGAAGTTTGATTATCATAATGGACTGGACCTCTGGAAGTATATCTTCTTGTACCTGTAAAGATTTCTTTCCTCTCAATTAAAATTGTTATTTTAACAGCTGCTCCATCAACTTATTCCATATTAAAAATGTCAATAACTCATTATCTGCTTCACAGAAGAAACACTCTATTATCATGACCCAAATCAGTTTTGTGATAATCTATAACAAAATCAGGTAATTTCAATAAATGCACAAGGTCAGGGTATTTTTCCATCATACAAGCTTCTACAAGAAGACACAAGATCTTGCACACATCATGGTTTAGTCTTATTTTTTCCAAGATAAAACATAATAACCAGTATATTATAACAACCAAGAAAGCTATTAGGGTTACGAGAACTGGAAGTAAGACAACAATAATAGTCATACTTATAATTTTTCTTAAAAAGAGGCAGAGACATAATGCAGTGTAATATTAATAAATGGTTAACCACATTTTGTAACAACTGAATTCAACACAAATCATTTCCTTCATAAATCATCATTTATGTGTATTTCATCATTGTAAGTACAGTCATATCAGACACAAGATAATTTCTACTTTAACTTTTAATTCCATTTCAAAGATGTGCATATCCCCTGCAAACTATGCACCTGTACAGGCTTTCAATTATGCATACTTCATTTGAATACTGTCCACACATCATGCAGACTTTTTTTTGCAAATTGTGCAACAAATGATTGATCCCAAAACTTCATATTTCGAAACATTAGACAAATTGATACTACAGAACTTACCAAACTTTCAGCAATTTCGTTTGGCTTGTCATTTTCTAATGCAAATTTGAAAGTGACTGTGTTTCTGTTTGACAAATCCAAACGGCATTCCACTTCTTCATCATCTGCTTCGTAACTTAGAATTGTAAGTCTTGGGGCTCTTTCTAATGTCTTTCGTCTTTTTGGACGTGTTCTCCTTTTCCTATCATCCCCTTTACCAGTCATTTCACTTTCACTGCAATGAATAAAAAATTTGAATAATGTTAGAATTAGAATGGGTAAAATACACCGATGGATTAGGAATGCACCATTCCTCTATTCTATTTTTCTGTGTAGGTGACGGAATTTGGGAACTGTGTATGAAACTGAGCAGTACATACCAATTACAGCACCTTGACAGTGAGATGACTTCAAGACCATTTAAATAAAGTTCAATGCATTAGGAAGGAAACTTACTGTATTTTCCAGGTTATAAGTTGCACCATTACATTGGCCAAAGAGCAATTTTTTTTTCTGATTTTTTTTTCATTTGATTCACATATAAGCCACATCAGAATTCAAGCAGCATCCTTTACTTATGATATGGTTATCACTATGTTGACTCAAGTTTATATATATATATATATATATATATAACAGGAAACAGGAGGCATTTTATGAAAATCAATAATTAAACATTTTAAAAAAATAAAAATTAATTATACACAAATAGTTCTTTTATGCATTTCTTTTTACTTATTCTTGTCATTTAAAATACATTAATTTCAAACTTGTTCCCAGCATTCACAGATTGTCTTCATACAGACAAAGGGCCTTATGTTATGTACGTAAGTATGTTTTATTCAACATTCTCGCCACCTGTGTCTTTACATTTAACCCCTTTAACCATGAAACTGGGTCAAGGCTATTCATTTTAATAAACTTTGTAGCTCTTCATCCCAACAGGCTACAGACAAAATTTCTGCAACTTTAGGTTTTTGATTCTTGAAAAGAAGCTTTTGGAAGATTATCACATTCGACACCTGTGACCAAAAAGTAGGCCCCAATGTCATTTGTTTGAATAAACTTTTTAGCCCTCCATCCATGCATGATAAAGGTATTTCAATTAATAAATGTTTGAAGATTTTTTACACATCAGACCTCTGTGATCTTGAAAGCAGGTTAAGAAACTCAGATGACACATGGGCAGGATAAAACCAATGGATATTTTGTTGAAGGCAATGAAAAAATGGTAATCAGTAGATTTTATTTGGTACTACAATCACCCAGTAAACCTTCAAATTCATACTATGTCAAACAACAATTTTTCAACAGCTTCCTTAATTTGGCCACATAATTCAGAAACCTGATGCTTAAGGGCTATTCCTGCATACATCTATCTTTTCCGAGGATTTCAGATTTTGATTAGGGATACCTTCCTGGAATTAAATTGATCATTTGCTTTGCAGTTTCAGGAAAAATTTATATTGGAGTCCAGAGGTTAAATAGATATTTTTTGCTAAACATGTGCTACCAACAGTGCTAATGAACTCAGCTATGACATATACCTCTCCCGGTGTTCATCATTCAGGTTTCCTGAAGACAGACTGCTTGTGATTGTGGAAGAGGGAGTGGCAGATGCACCACTTGGCTGAACAGGCTTGGATGTTCCCGTCTGTTGCTGATGTTGCTGTGCTGCAGATATGTTCAGCTGTTCCAGATTTGCAGCCTGATTAAATGAAAATAATGATTTCATTCGAGAAATTAATACAATATTGGTTGAAAGAGAAAAGATTGAAATGTTATTAGTTAATCAATGCATCTATTAATTTCCCCTAAACAGATATCCCAGAGAGTTCTTGACAATCGCTATTGATTGATCTTTATTCTTTAAAAAGTTGGATCTTTTCCCTTCATTTTTCTTCAGTCCTCTGTTTTTACTCTTAACTATAAGAAATTTGCAGTTTCTTTTAAGCAAAATCTAAGATGGTTTGTCAGCCATTTTTGTTTTTCTTATCAGATCAAATATCAAATAGGCACAACTGGGGACAACCTGAAACCTACATATGAAATCTGAGAATGATCCGACAAGGACCTATTAAGGAATAGGGATAACAGCAATAGTTTTTGGATTGTCAGACGTAGGGCATTTAAATAGTACACCATCAGAAGATTGGCTAAAAAAGGAAAGACAAGATATGTTGGATATGTCTCTGACAGGAAGCTATTCAGGAAAACTAAGCAGAAGTGAAGGCTTGGATATTCAATTGAAAGCATTTTTGCAGTTGTTCAAATCTCAAGTTGTTAAAAAACAAACTTTGTAAAGAATTTTGAAGTCCTGTAACTCTGGCAAATATTAACCAATTTTAAGACCTATATCACACCTGTCTCAGACCTATATATAAAACAATATACAGAATTTGGTCCAAATCTCCAGACAACAAAAGTATCAGTGAAACTGGTGAATGCTCCCAAAAACAACTTTATGGAAACAAAATTCTAACAAAGGGAAATAATTCTGTAATTAAGGAGTTCAGGGCCCTTAATTTGGTAAACTGCCCACTTTCTTTGTATGACCAATGTATGGACAAAGTTTTAATTATCCTAGTATAAATGTAAATGTAAAAGCTATGCCCCAAACACAAAATTTTAATAAAGTAACTCTGGAATAGAGGGATCCCAGGCCCTGAATTTGATACACTGCACATAATCTTAGTACAGGGGTCGAAATAACTGCAAGCCCGTCTGCCCGGGGCCATCTATTGTAATGAAGGGCCAACAAGTTATGCAAAGCGCCGGTACGACGGGCTTGTTACTTTTTAAAGCTCAAAATTTGTCCTCTATTCTGCTAGTAATACCCAAATGAGTCAAATCGATAAATCTGAACGACAGTGACGTCGTGTTCGATGAAGGCATATTGCCGACTCTCGTTTCTAACGACATTTTTCATCGGCTTAGCTGGTACTGACAGTCTTAATCACTGCTACGTTTTGTTCCGTGTATAGAGTATATCAGAACTTACAAGTACTATAAAGACATGGAGCACAACAATGGCAATCTACTGATAGCATGATGGAACGTTTCCTCAGTGGGTTCAAGCCCACGCCCGCTAAGAAGCCTAAAACCTCAGAAGAAAAGTTAACACAACAACGAAAATACGAAAGAGAAAATCGTACTCGGACTTATCTTCCGAAATGGGGAAACGAATTTCAGTGGCTAAATTACGAAGAAAATCCAGGGCCACTGCAATGACAGAAGGGCCAGTAAATCTTCTGAAGTTCGGGCCACCTTTAGTAATTTTCTGATTTCTACCCCTGTTAGTATGACCAATGTATACAGCAAGTTTCATGAACTTTGTTTAACTGTGAGTGAAGTTATATTCTGGATACGAAATGACAGATAATTTGGCTACTACATAAAAAGATATTTGATGAAAACAAAGAAATTGTTTACATCAGGGATTTCAAATGCCCGCAGCTTTGGCTTTGACCAATATCAAACTCATTGAGATCTCAATGATATAAAGCAATATATAAAATTTTGTTGAAATCTGATGTAAAAATCTCAAGTTATCCAATAGAAGCCTTAAACTGATAAGAGGGTCTAACAGTCAGGGTCAAGGTCATCAATTGTGGTATCAATTAATGCTATATATTTGTTTATTTAGCCGGCTAATATTTTGCAGTTGTTCCAGCTTGAGCTAGTTCATGGGGATTAAGTTTTGTGCATGTGTTTATGTTGGTATACATGGATACAGACATCTATTAGAAATATCCTTATATTTTTAATTCTCTTTTGAATGCTTGCTGGGTATTTAGATTTCCTGACATATTAATGACCATAAATACAGCAAAATTAATTCCTCTGCATATATTACCAACTATCCAGCAGGTCTTGTCCTCAGAAATATACATGCCAAATAAGAAAGTCTTTTCTTGAGTTGCCATTGAAAAGATGCAAGTCCAACTTGTCTTCAAACCTACATACAGACAAACCGAAAACTATATATGCTCTCCAACACCCCCCTCCCCCCATCTTTGATCTCTGGACCATGAAGAGAAATCTGTGATCATTTAAGACCAAGATGAAAATAACACACAGAAACAACACAAAAATAGAGTAACAAAACATCAGACAACAAAGCAAAATGAGAAAATATCACACAAAACAAAAATAAAACATGATTACAAGGCAACTAAAATAAAAGGGTTGTAGGTTAGTATACTACTTAATTAACAGTTAGTGCCATCACACCTTCAATTGAATTCGACTTGAAGACCCTGCAGCATTATTTTGTTGTGCTCCTAAGGGTTTCATGGGAGACATTGCTTCTACAGCACCCGGGGACAACGTTGAATGACCAGGAACCTGTAGATGTTTGAATGAGGAATAGGATCAGACCCTTCTGACAAAGGGACAACTACATGGAATGAAATACAATTGCCAGTGACTTGGTCTTAACATAATACTACTAGGTGAATTAAGGTGCAGCCACTGAAATTAAAAACAAAAAGTCGAAAATCAAATTTTACTAGGCTCATATATTAGAAGTTAATAAGTGTTTACATGCAAAACTTTTTAAAAATAGTTATATAAGTATGACTGTAGCCTGTTATCAAGTATATGTTTGCAAGTTCACATAATCACTAAACACTTTTATGAAGAATATGAACCTACATTTAGATTCCCAATCAACAAACAATAAAATCAAATTGCTTGTTTAAGGTAACATTATGTGTGTGTATTTTTTTCTTCAGCAGTGTGAGCAGACTAAAGAGTGGTTTCATTTTTTCTGAATTGATCTTTCTTTGATTCTCACTCTTTTTTTCTCTTATATGCTACCAGAGATTACCTTTTTCAACATGACATTACGGTTTGGGCTACATCATTATCATGTTCATATTCTTAATAAAAATCAATCTGATGCAAATGCTCTTGAAATTCTACTAATATTGTATTACACCATGAAAGGTGAAGATATATTTGTTTCATTCCCAACTTTATCATTTTGGAAAATTTAGTTCAAATACTGGGAAAAAGGATTTGTTTTAAACTTAAATGAATTATGGTATTCTTTCCAAAGTAACAACAAAAAGATGGCATTGCAGATACAAATTGCCATACTCTAGAAACTAATCAACAATATTACATCAAGGTAACACAAAGCGTGACATTATCCCCCACATTCTGCTGTTTAGAAGATATATATATATATATGTTAATTTGATACACTGCACAAAATAACAAATGTTAATGCCATTCAACTACTGTTATCTATATTTTGATGAAGATAATTACAACATTCTGATGACGTTTTTGAAGACATGTTTGGCATCATTTGCGAATTAAATGACTGCATTATAAACAATTAATTATGGGATACACATGAGGATTACTCATGAAATTTAACAAATTTTACAACATTAACATGGACTTTGGTATAAGGATGTAATACAATCATATTAACGATACATCTTTTGATTTGCTTATTCCTTTTGAGTATTTTAGTGTCTGGAGATGCTTCACGATTACAAATGCTATTTGTACACATACAAAGGTGTGCCAGACTGAACTGTTTAATCTCACTAGAAAAAACTTGAATAATTTTTTCATGTATGAAACTAAACCATCATATGTTTCACATATTTTAATTATATTACATTAAGTACATATCTTTTCATGTCTCTAACTATATATGGTTTTTAAAGAATAGTTCCAAGACGCTGCCTCTGAGTGTGATATAACACATGTATGCCGGAGATCAAGGAAAATTGAATTTTCTTTTATCTCCAATAATTTTTCAAATATCAACATGAAACCTGGTACGAAGGTGTATTATAATCATATGTAAAATGTTGCTAATCATATTAACTTTAAACCAGAGGATAACTGGTAATGTGTGGAGGGTTACAAAAATTACTTGTACATGTACACTATATCCCATTGTAAACTTGTTGCCTGGGGATAATTACTGGAAATTATTCAGTGTTAGAATTTCAAGAGCATGCCAGTAGTAGGATTAAATAGTGTTCATCTGACTTTCACTTGAATCAAGCAATACCTGTATATTCTGGACATCTTGAATAGATTGTTCTCCTTCTGTCTTTTCTTGTAAAGGTTTGACAGCCTGTAATATAAAAATGAAATTAATTAAACAGAGCTATGTTTAAAACTCTCAACATCATGTTGCTCATTCCAGATAGAAGATCTTTCATACCAAAGCTTGTGTTTACAATGTATATTTGACTCTCGGCCAAATGTTTGGCAATAGCTGGTCAGAAAAAATAACAATCAGAGCACAATAAATGGAATAAGATTTTCAAGTGATATCAATCCAAATTTGCTCTCTTCCCCCTACTTGGCACCACCCATCTTGCCCTCATTTATACAAAATTTACCCTTTTCACCAAAGCAGCTTCTGACAATTACGGTTAGAATCCAGACATTTCTACAGACAAATAATCTGATAGAATTTGCTCCATATCCCATATTCTTCACCCTCTTCAATACAATTTTGGGAAAAAAATGCAATCATCCTATGGGAGGAACAGGATTGTGAAGAATTTGGTCTCTTCACTTTTGATTGAATTTGATCAAAATCCACTTAGTCATTCATGACTAGTAGTAATTTGTTAAAATAGTTAACATACAGACTAACGACAGCCACTGCAATATGCCATAAGCTCACTTGGCCCTTCAGACTGAAAACACTTGAGTCTGCACCATCTCAGGATTATTTCAGGCAAAATTCATCATATACCACTGGTGAAAGTTGAGATGAAGTTTACAACTGGTGCTCATCAAGAAAACCTTCATTTCCCAATCATATAAAATTGGTTCTCATAGCTGAAAAGGGAACTTTCCACAAACCAAAAAATAACGAGAAACCAAAGACATTGTTTGGTTCATTAATTCTTTCCATTCTCAATTAAAATTTTGGGGTTGCTACCAGAAGTGACATTCAGGTTGGTCCTTCGTGCACATGAGCACATAGCTGAAGTCAAACAAATGAATTTAAAACTTGGGGTACATCACACCTAACTACTTATCACAAAGTCTCGAGTTACAACACGCTCCAGACTTACATATACATTAAGAGTATCCTTGCAAACATGAGAAATATCCAGTATTACCTGCTGTGATACTTGAGAATGGTGAGCTGAAGGTTTCGTCTCGCCCTCAGGACTTGCTGTAGCTGTTTAAAAAAAAAAAGTAATTATCATGAATAATTAAAACCAATGAAATTTGTTTTAAAATTGAGATTTTTCTCTAAAATCTTAATATCAACTTTACTTTTTTCATGAAAGTGATGCAGATATAATTTTTTTCATTTGATGTTTTAATCTTTTTGAAAATACACCCCTCAAATCAGATACTGTTGAAATTATTTTTAAAAGACTGAATAAAATTAACAACATTCCAAAGGCAAAATGGGATGAGATTAATAGATCTGCAAGAAAACAACATGTGCATCAAGGATGTTATGGAGTGAAATAAATTACTGTAATGTACAAAAAATTAAGCTCCCTTCCCACTTTTGCGTTTCTTCCAGAACATGTGGTTGCTCACAATAAAGCACACATCCCTTGATTATTTTGTGTTCAGAGGATTAGAAAAGGTTTGTTGATTCCTTACCATCTCATACACAAGAAACTTCACTACTAATACGCTTCACACTGTACAATGAAACATCACACTTTAATCTGGATGTGTTATAGGAACTTCTTTTCTATTGACAACCTCTAGCAAATGATGCAAAACTTAAAACATTATTTCTGTTTTACTGCAGTCATCATCAAATATTGATATATTCCTTTTATAAGTCATTAGTAATGATGTATATATAGTCAAAGTAAGGTAGGACAATTATCCAAGATGATCAATATCTTTTTTTCCACTTATTCTATAGTAAAATACAGTACAATATTCATTTTGTCAGAGGGTGAGATGATAATTAAAGTTGAAAATGGAACCTCTGCTTACCTAAAGCCTCTTCACTTGAAGTGTAGGTTTGCTGAGTGAGTGACTGGTGCTGAGACAAGGACTGAGAGACAGTTGACTGAGACTGGACAACCTGGCTTTGGGACACAGTGGCTTGCTGTGAATGTGGCTGTTGCTGTAGTTGTGTTTGTGATGGCGCCTGGCTATCTACTGACATTGACACATCTGTAGTGCTTGTACTATGGGAAATCTGCTGTTGGGAGGAATGAAGTTGCAACTGTGACCCTCCATGTTGCTCACTTTTGCTATGAGCCTCTGCAGCTTTGCGGCCTATGTCTCTCCTTACCATACTTATCCTATCGCGAATCTGCTTGCTTACAATCTTAACATCTTCTTCCTGAAGAAATCCTGACTTGACCTGCAAAATACAACAACCAAATAAGACTCCTGGTCTTTTCATGATTTACATCGTTCCTTAACAATTGGCCCATTCAATTGGAAACATAATTAGGGAAGTTTTTCTTGTCCCAAAATAATTATTTTCCTTTCTATTTAAAAATTTCCACAATTTTTTAACATTTCCATTCACATTTGAATATTTCTCACAGATTTGGGGATACTATTAAATTATTATAAAAGACAGTGGGGAGCTTAAAACCATACCATGTGCCTCTTTGTGTGGAGGCCACACCCCAAGGCTACCAAAGCAAGAAACCAAAATGGGGTTCAAACAATGGGAAAGAAGGGGTCAGACAGGCGTTAATTCCAGAAACACAGATATCCTGGTGATGGACTAATTAGCTATGAAAGATATCGAACAATTCCACAGTTGACTGCTTGTATTAAATTACAGAAAGGTCACAAAGAGTAGGCGAATGGTTCATTATAAATTATTGAATATGTTGAATCATGTGAATTCCTAACATTTCGATTTGTTTGTAATCAAAATTAAATGCATTTTAATGCATATCCCAAATCTTTCACATGGAGTTAGAATTAACATATACCATCTCTTGAGCAACTTCTTCTGGGACATCATTTTCAATGTCAAAGTCAAACTGAATGGCCTCATTTTCTTTGTGCCGGTCTTTCCGCTTCTTTGGGTCAACAACACGAAGTCTCAACTGAACAGATGAAGAGTCAATTTCTTCTTCCTCTCTAGTCACCACTTCAACTTTGAGTCCATTGTCTTCTAGAAAGAAGTTGTGCTGCAGTAAATCCTTCACTGTGTACCTGGAACATTTTACATCATAATCTAACTTCAAATGATATATTACACAAAATCAAACAAGAAGCCCATTGGCCTCAATGGTCATCTGACATCCCTTAGAGTAAGCTATCTTGTCGAAAATAACATTTGTCAGAAAACAATAGATTTGAGGGTTGCCACGAAAGGAAGCAAAATCCAAACAGAACTGACTGGAGAATGTGTTGTTGTATCTGATGATGTTGGGCTAAAAATGTATAATGGATCTGAATTTCCTCTAGGGTCTTATGTAAATTTTGCAATGTTCTCCTCAGGATTTTTATGATATGCTATGGCACCTATGGCATGGAATGACGCCACTAGACTGCTAATGACTTTGTAAGTAAGTGACCTTTACCCAACAACCCTGAAACTGAAACTCCTGCATGAAATTCTGATTGCTCTATAAATCCAACTTGTCCATGATATTTGATACTATTCCCTTAAGAATCAAAAGCCACTGACAAACTCTATCACTGGGATGGACAGACGGAGAGGAAAACTCCCTGGTTTCACCAGTAGGTCACTAAAAAGCAATCCCCAGAATGTCAGGTTTCTTCATAGAATTGTGCTATATATCTTCTTCATCTTGATCACCTAGCAATCCACACACCTCCAATTATTCAAACACTCCTTTCCTTAAGTTTTTACAAACATATTGTTCCCATGAGGAGTTCTTTTACCCATCTCTGAAAGGTACTTGTAACTGCACTTAAGCTTGAAGCATTGTAGCGCTTCATAGACCAAGATTTAGGTACCAACTATCAAACAGGACATACTTTCAGATTTGTACAACATCTTCCTTGGATGAAAAATGGCATAATCATAATGCAAGGTTGAAATTAAATGTATTTCAATCAAATTGTATAGTTTCTGATGATATTGGTTTCAACATATTGTTAAAAGAATAATAAGTGAGCACCAAATAACATTTCAACCCACCACCCTCGGCTCCTAATTTGTTGCTAGAAATGATCAAAATCAAATGTGAAATAAGGAGTGCTGTAAAAATACAGAACAGAAGGTTATAGTCATTGCGGGTTGGTATATATAATCTCATTTAGTCTATCCCAATTTTTTTAAGCAATATGTAGTGATTTAAATTGATCTCCATGAGGATATTGTGAAATGTTTGGAAATAATTACCTGTCTTCTATTTTGGATCTGATACATGCGTCTATGATTTCCTTTATTTCAGCCCCATCCACTTTTGAAAATGCCTCTGGTCTCACTCCCTAAAAGGTAAAAAAGGGCCAAACAAAATATAAATCCATGTTAACTCAAAGACACTAAATCATTAATAATCATCTCTATTTGTGTATTACTATAGATTTTTTTTCCCCAGTATTGGATAAATCATATACACATTTTACTTTTTTCAGATAAAAACTTGCTTCCTGGTCTACTATAGGCATTCCCAGATAAAAAAATATATAAGGCAGGAACAAAGTAAGTGATAATACAAGGATGGTATTGTTTGCATATGTAAACGTCTGCATGTATATCAAGCTGCAACAAAGAACACCAACTGGTAATGAAGTTCCTGAAGTAGGTCTCTGTACTTACACTTGTCACTCGTCTGTAGATCTGAGCAGCATTAGAACATTCCTTGTAAGGGTACTCGGACGTTGCCATTTCTAACATGCACATTCCAAACGCATACACATCCACAGATTCGTCATAGTGCTCTTCATACATTTCAGGAGCCATAAATTCTGGCGTACCTTAAATTATATAAAGATGGTGCTTTGTACCGTTCGCAGCAGTCTACAATGGGAAAAGATGGGTAAAGGGAAACCCAGATTAGTATTTTTCATCTGGTTGCATATGCCTGCATCTGCAATAAGAAACAAACTTGGAAAAAACTGAACAGTGTCAGAGGTAAAAGGTCAAGCCTAGTACCCAATTACCTGCATTCTTACCTCCTTCCTCAGATTAAGGGAGATGACAGTTCTATAAGAAAATGGAAAAAGGCAAAGCATAACTGTGCAAGAGTGAACAATTCACAACAGCAGCTCTTTCGTTCATTACTCAAGAGGGATTACTGATTTCTTAGGAACGTTCTTCAATTTTTTTACTTCTAAGGATGTTAAGTATGCCTACTGCATTAACTACAATGCAAGACAATATTTACAGAATTTTCCATTCAGATGTAATGCTTATAATAAAAACCATTTCCAAACAAAGCATTAAGAACATATCTTGACAGAATGTTTCTATCAAAATAATAAAAATTGAAGCCCATTGATCACATAATTGAATACTTACACACGCTCACGCTATTTCTGTGTTCTGTCCTTTTGGCTAAAATAAACTGTAGTAAGTAGGACGGAAGGAAAACAAAAAAAATAATCTGGTGTAACCACAGATTACAACATGAGTATGAAATCAACATTTCCCAATTAGGTACATTTCTTAATTAAGTAGTAAAACCAAATTTGGCTTTAGTATTCTTAAACATACCTATTACACTTTTAGCAAAAGATTTGTTCTTCAGTGTTGCCAACCCTAGGTCACCAATCTTGACCGACCCTGTTGTACCAGTGATGAAGATATTATCACACTTGAGATCTCGATGGATCACTGGGGGTGTTCTCATATGTAGGTAGTAGAGGCCTTTCAATATCTGCTTACACCAATTCTTCAGTACTTTGGGGTAAATCTTTTTCAGTCTCTTGATATACCTGAAATCATCATGTAAAGAAGTTGAATAGATTAATATAATACTCAAAGTTCATCAACATAAAACATAGACACCAAGTTTGCCAAGGATTTTGGTGGGGTGAAGAAGTGGAGAAGGTAAACAAATTTTGAAAAATTAAAAGATATTGTTACTAATGAATAATAACTGCAAACTCATTACAAAAGAATCAATTCTTCTGACCCTTATGTCGTACAGTTTGGTCAATGACATTAGTTGCCGATAAACTTTGATCTTTGTGACCATATTTCATTTGCTAAATAATCAGTATTAAAATCATTAGTGTTTTACTGTCTGTTCCATCTTAAACAATTATCTCCAATAAGGCTCCTGGCTATTCATTTCAAAAGAGACCTAAGGGCCTGACAGTCATAATGCCAGAGTTCTATAAATGTTTTTTGCTGTTGTAACATGTGTTATAGAAATCATTGTTAACAAGTTAATCAAACTACACTGTATATGTACATGTGTATGTATATATATATATGTATATGTTAATTATTTTAACCAAGGTTGAATTATTTGCATCAGAAATAAAATAAATTTTATTCAAATCAGTAAATTCACTTCAGAGGGTGATGCGAGAATCTCAAGTCATGAAATTACTATTTTAGCAGAGCATTTTATTATCATCCCATCCAAGGAGAATATTTGACTAGAGCTACTATATCTGGGTCTTGAGAAGATTTTTTTAGCCCATTTTACATGTTTGAGTCCCATCAATCAAGACTCTGAAGTAAGCCTGGGTCAATATGTGTATGTAACATCTAATTAACTGTAAATACAAATCCCCCGCAGGTCCATCTTGACTTAAAAGCACAAAAATAGATAGTCAATTGTTTTAAGTTTGATCAAAATCTCTCAAGGAATGAAAGCCACTATATAGCTACTAGCACTAGCATGCTGATAAAGGATTTTTATATATTTTTAAATAGTACCAGTGACAGTAATCTTGATACCTACAATTTATTTTTATTAATTTTATTTCAAATATCAATCTGAAGTTCGAACAAAAATCCTTCCAGGAATGTAGTCACTAGAGTGCTGACAAAGATTTTCTGGAAATAGAAAAAATTGTCTTTACTTGGACCCTGTATATAATCATTATGTATTGAAACTTAAAAACTTGTCCATATTGTGGTGTCTAATATGGAAATGAAGCTACTAGCGTGCTAACAAGGCTTTTCTAGTGACCTTGACTTGGCCCTTAAACAGTAAAGTAACAACCCTCAAAAAACATTGAACTTGACCTATATATTACAATCCTTTAAATATGTGCTGTTGGATAAATATCTTTAATGAAGCCACTGGAACATAGAATGGATTTACGAAAATAATAACGTGGTTGTGACCTTGACCCTAAAACTTGGAATGATAATAATAATAATAATAATGTTTGCTTGCCTTTGACAGTGTCTTCCCAAGAACCACAAATTGATTAGGGAATGGTTTTATGTGTTAGGTACACAAGATATTTAGTTCAAATGGTTTTGACTATTGATTTGTGATTTCATTTTTTACCTTAGATGTGACTGATAGAATTCCTCCCTATACAAAAAAAAATTTTTTTTTTTTTTGCTCTCCTACCCACAATTCCTCATAATTGCAAGTCTTAATTAAGTCTTTGGGAAATAGCTATACAAGTATACCAGTTTTGTAATAAAGACTAATTTCCGGGCCAAATGCATCAAAACAAGTGAAAACTCCTCAACATTTAGAAGATCAAACTTAAAACAATGATCTCTTGGCTATATATTGAGAATTTACCATATCTAATGACAAAATGGCGACACACCAGTTATCTTATCAACTTTGACTTTAAGGGCATTATTTCAAAAGAACTTTTACTAAGTTATCACAGGGCCTGGCAAATGCACTCATCCACTTGTAATTCTATTTACTTATAAATAAAACTGGTTACCTATCGATCAGCTAATATGCATTCCTTGAGTGCCTGTGTTTCACAAAATTTGAAAATACAACTCAACAGGTAAACAAATTTGTGCCTCCTACAATGAAAGCTGAATATGATGAAATGAAACAAGTGTTTTATTGACTGCGATTGTGATATATCCTTCTGTGATAGTGTCCAAATGCAAGTGTTCCCGAGTTCTGTCTGAAGTAAAAGTAGAATGTCCAAGTTTATTTTAATGAAAATGGCCCTGTGAATGTTACATTTTTTTTTACCTAGCAGCTGTCAATAGAAAAAACTAAAAGGGCCAGGGGCCTAAATGATCACTTGAGTGAACTCACAAACAGAATCAACTGGAAAGAATGTATTATCAAGAAGAATAAATAAGAAATACTATTTGTACAAGGATTCAAAAGAGTTTTACTGGAATTGCAATTCATCATTATTGTATAACTTTCATGACATAATTGTGCTAACTTAGTCTCTCCCCCAGGGGAGAATGCAAGACCCTGGTGTCATGAAATTTTCAGTTTGACACTTTTATCCATTGAAGTATTTGATTATACTCTATTGAGATTCCAATAATTTATTCACAACTGAAATTAATTGAATTAAAGCATGCTACAAGATGTGTATTGTTTTGAAAAAATCTTCTGTAATATCATTTAGGGCTAATAAATTCCTAATTCTATGGATTACTTTTAACCAGGCCAGTAGTCGACAAAAGAGTGTTTTTTATAAAGTTTTTCCATGGCTCTGTTTCCAAAATAAGACTCCTAAAAAGATAGACAACAGAAGCCATGTCTGTGGATAGTGTATGAATTCAATATAACTTACGTCTTCAGAGTACCAGAAGTCATAAGCTCGGTCACAAGCACAATAACTTTCCTGTTTCTTGGATTTGGTTCTTCCCATGAGTCATAAAATCTGACAATATTTGGGTGTTGCAGTTCTTTCAACATTTCAGCTTCTTCTCGGAATCTTTGTCTCTCAGTTTTGTTCCATTTCTTATCCTGGAAAAAAAAAATTAAAGACTCAAACAAAGACTTGCTTGCGATTTTACAAATTTGTCAATGTAGAAAACTTGCATTCAATAGTAGTCTGCCCCTCATGTTGATTGCTTAAATTACAGGGTTTTCCATAATTTTGTTAGTAGTAGGCTGTGTAGTGAAAGTAGGAGGCTGGCCTGCTGTGTACGTGTAGTCGTGTATGGAACATTATTATGGAACTGGATCGGTGTAGGCGGCCAAATGATCAAAGTAGCCGGTCAAATTGGACGGCGACCGGCTCTTATGGAAAACCCTGAATTATCTATCAAAGATTTAGAGCAAGTAGAATGATGCCAATGTATTTCATGAACTTTTTGCCAGTTACTTTTCAGGCGAGTGTTCTGCAACGTCATGTAGTTTAAGCCAACAAGATTTGTTCCATCAAGTTGTGTGGGAGTGCAATATGATGCCTATGATGGTATGGTGAATAGATAGGCGTAAAATGAAAAAAAGTGCAATTTCAATGACATGTGATCACACCTAGTCGTTATGATAATGAAATGTAATAAAGCAGTTATGATACTTGTTACTTATACTTAATCAGATAGCTAATACCAACACTCCATTCTGGTGTCTGTCAATATTTGGTTATCTTTGCTCCAACCAAAAAGCACCATAATTGTGTATTATCACTCTTCTACAAATCCTAAAGATAATCATTAGAATAGAAATTCTAAAACCATGACCAGTAGAAGATCTACTGGTTTTGTTACAAGAACTTCTATTCTATTGACAATACCAACCTGCAGAAATGTTCCAAAATACTAAAGATAATCAATGCCTGTTGTAAAATCAGGGTCATATTCCTTTTTGGCCCCATTGTTCTTAAATTGATGCAATAAACCCAACTGAAAATACTTGCTCCCTAGTCGAAAAGTAGCTCACAGTGATCCAATTTGAAACTGCTTAATTGTGTCAAAGATGTTCTCTATTTCATATACACATAATAACAATGAATTTGTCATACCTACTTTTTTTCTTGACGTGTGAACAAAAACAAATAAGTGGATTATGAGGCAAGGTGCTTATCACAAGCTGCACGACAAGTTACGTAAATATACCTTTGCATGAAGTATTCATACATGAAAAATGAAATTTATCTGTGATAGCCCAAATTGACATCCATCCTATGAAAGTTCTTTACCTTCGTCTGACCAATGCTTAGTCCAAAGGGTTCTAGCTATCCTCAATATTATTGTCTCGGTCACAAAGCAATAGTCAGAACTCCATGCTATATAAACCCCCCAATACTAGCGACCCCTGCAAGGTTTGGCATTCAATTGAAAAATGAAACATTTTCCTACTAATTTGCATATGTCTCAAAAGAAATTCAATGTTGTAAGCCAAATATTTCTTATCATTTTCCTAGACAGCTGTATTTTCCAACATATATAAATAATACAGTGGCTGCCACTATGCAGAATCTCTCTCGACTCGTGATTGTAAATCTACCATTCCCACAGACCTCAGGAGAATTTACTTTTTGGTGGGTTTACAACCACAAGTCTTCAGAGATTCTACAGTGTTGTGGTCACTGTAATGGAGGAAAATGAATGGAAATACTTGGCTTACTACAATTAACCGCTTTGACATGTATGCATGTTAGCATATAATGTTTGACCTTTCCATCATTGTGTAGTTAATAACTATTACCTTGATGTAAACTTTATAAAACACTGTCTGAATGTCGACCCTTGCACCGGTTGTTAGTATTTGGGATTTTAACATAGGGTGGAATTCTGACTATAGGTCTGCAACCAAGACCAAATAAAATTGTGGATATATAGTCAAAACCCTTCAGACTAACTGATGCCACAGAAGTCAATTTCAATGAAACTTTAGATTAGAAGCCCTCAGTTATTATGGATATTGTGTACCTGTAATTCACACCATGCAACTGCTACTCCCGTTTCGGTGTCTAATCCTTTATAAACAGTTTTAAAGGAGCCTCTTCCAATTTCAACATCAAATTTCATAAAACGTCCATCTGGTGAAGTTGCAACTGCTTTTTCAGCTTTTTCATCAACTTCATCTTCCTTTTTGACAACTTCGCCATCTACTTTCTTCTCTATCTTTTCAGATATTCCAGCATCCAATAGAGAATCTCTTGGTATCTCACCAGATTCCAACTCTTTAACAGATGCACTACTAAGTACTCCAAGACTAATAGCACTGTCTGCAGTACTTTGAGAAGAGATATCCTCAGAATATATAGCCGGTTTGTCTGTGTCATTAATATCCAAATCAGTTACAGACCCTTCAGTGATAGGTTTTGGACTACTACTTTTCACAGTACATACTTCAAATGATCTCCTCTTTGCTGGTTGCTTCAATTTCCGACCAGAAAAAGAAGTTATTTTTCTCTCCTTTTTCACCACATCATCATTTTCTTCCACTTTCTTAATTTGAAATGTTTTTGTTACAGAATCATCCGAGTTGTTGCTCGAGTCATGGGATCGATCACTAATCCTGGACTTATTATCCATATTTGTTGAACTTTTCCCTGCAAGTTCTACATCAGATGAATCAGATTTTATACTTGATGACCTATCTCTTTTCATCATGATACTGCTGTCTTTTGTCTGGAATCGTCCAGGAAAACATGAAGATTTCCCACTTTTCTCATATGACGACTCTACTTTTCCTGTAATATCCTCTGAAATACACTTTCTGCGATCGCGAATTTTATTCCGATTATTTGTTCTTAAGACAGGACTTTGATCAGCAGAATAAGATTGAGAATCCCCTTTATCAGACTTGTGAGTAATTTTCTGGCCCATTCCTAGTCCTGCATGCAATCGTCTCTGTCGACCTATGGAATATGATGGTTTGACAGTCCCCGGAACTGTCGTATCGTCTGCATTTTCTATCTGTTTATGAGATAAATCCCCATTAATAGCAATAGAAGAATGGTTTTTACTCATCTTCACTCAATTAACATTCAAAAGGAAATAAAATTGCACACAACAAACCAATAAATAAAAGGGATAGAATTATCCAAGTCAAAAATTATTAGTAGCACTATTCAATACCAACGCCATGTTTTATGGTCATCGATTATAATGTCGAGAATACAAATATGACTCATGACTGGCAAACCAACTCAAAATCCGAAAACCTCTGTAGAATCGGTAATATGTCTCAAACGGCTTTCTTGCAAACGGAAAACATAGTCCAAAAGGTGTTTACATGTGAATGATTTTACTGAATAAGTATTCCACTTGTAACATTTGCTACGTGTTTTGTATGATAAAAGGGTCGTATCACAAAATGTGTTCACAGTATGACCTATTTCTGGGTAGACCCGAATGAAAATCAGATCCGTCAACAGAAAGGATGTAAAGAGAAAGTGCATATGGCGGATCTCCTTAAGCAGTGTCCACTGAATAACGCCAACACTACAGCACCTTGTGACTGATCCCACATCCGTCATATCTGACATAATTTTGTCAATCCTTTCAATATGCTCGGTAAACATGGTGAAGACACACAAGAAGCCGAGATTGAGCAAGACATATCCTTTCAACTGTCCTCAACACAAATATATTTTGTCCTTCAGTGGGTAATAAAACCCTGACTGGAAAAGTCTGCGAACAGACTACCCTTCGTAACGGTCACATATCCATATTGAACACAGGAACATTCTTACCAACACAAATGACAGACAAATCCATAGGGCCACCCTTGTAATGGCGATTCACTCGAAAATAGTCCTCGACGAACCTGTGTATTGGCGTATGAATATCAGCAGAGAAGTAAGTAAATATTTCAACATATATCATCTTTAATGCCATTTTAAGTTATTGAAAAATGCATATTCTATACACAATGAGTAGTTTTGTTATGGTAATAGATGCCTACAACTAAATGAAAACAGCAGTTCTAAAGAACTATTCTATGTAAAATGATGCATTTGTAATTCGCCGGATATCAGCGAAGGCAAGGTCGTCTGCAAGATTTCGGTCAAATGAGGCACACGATGGGGTTAGATATAAGAAGATACGTCTACAACTGAGACCGTTGGTTAACATGTCTGTTTTATTCATTGTAAGGCATACACAATACATTCGATATTAAAATCAGATTTTGAGTAAATCAGGAATATGTGCATTTCTTCAAGGACTGAGCATTTGAAAAGCAAATCAACAGACTAAAGTGTTTAACAGCTTTGCTAGCGTGTACAAAAGTTTACAGACACCTTCCTCTCAAAAAAGCATATCGTAACATTACAATTAATGCGTTTATTTATTTTGACATGTACACGATTGTTAATTTAATCATCAAATCAATCAATTAGACCAAATAAATAATCATAACTTATTAACAATATGCACATCCTTGAATGTGTCGAACTTTCCCTGCTGATGATGCAGACTGAAGGTTTTGATGTCGGTTTTCATTGCAATGATGGCCATGTAATATTTTGATAAATTTCTACGTTTCATTTTGATAAATTTCTTCCTACCACAGAGAGTGTATAACATGTAACATTTTGATAAATTTCTTCCTACCACAGAGAGTGTATAACATGTAACATTTTGATAAATTTCTTCCTACCACAGAGAGTGTATAACATGTAACATTTTGATAAATTTCTTCCTACCACAGAGAGTGTATAACATGTAACATTTTGATAAATTTCTTCCTACCACAGAGAGTGTATAACATGTAACATTTTGACAAATTTCTTCCTACCACAGAGAGTGTATAACATGTAACATTTTGATAAATTTCTTCCTACACACGGAAGGTGTTTAACATGTAACATTTTACAAATCCCTTCCTGGCACGGAAGGTTTATAACATGTGACATTTTGATATTGTTTTACCTACCACGGGATGTAAATATATGTTACATTCTAGTAAGTATATATCTTCCACGGGACGTAAACGAATGTAACCTTTTCATAAATTTCGACTTACCACGGGACGTTTTAAACACGTGTCTGTTTAAGGATGTATTCCTCCGAGAAGTGAAAACATCTTGATAACGATTTTTTTGAAAGATTTGATTTTAGAAAGTAGATTAAAAGCAAAAAACCAATATGTTGCTCTCCTACTTTTTCAACTACAATCATCAGCATATACAGAAAATCATTCACTTTCAAATATCGTACTTATGTTTTTGCCTGAATAGCACACATCCCGATATTTTCGTTGCAACCTTTTCAAAAATATTTTTTTGTCTCTCAGTATAAGATAGGGGTATGATTCTTGGATAGTAATAAATAATCATGCGAAAATTTTCGTTAGCTTTAACAAGCTTTAAACTGAATGGCAACCAAAATCCTTTATTTGACTGTCTTTTAGTTTTAAACTTTTTAAATACATAGATAGAGACCTTTTCGATGGATTCTTTCATAATCAAACAAGAGGGGGTAACCTTTTATTCGCAAAGAAAAACAGTTTTTCCAAGATCAAGAATCAAGCTGAAATATTTGTTTTCGGGCTCTGAAAATCCGAGAAAGTGATAAACCAAGTCAGAATTCAATTATTTGAAATCTTTGGTTTGTGGTGATAATTTATGCGAAATACATTTGGCATCTACCCATGAGAAGGGTTATACTCAAGAGAAGTACCTAAACATCCAGGAAATGTTGAAACGCTAATAAGCGAATCACGTCGTCAAGGTCGCCGTCAAAAAATTTGTCCACGAGCGAAATTTCTTTAAAACGTCATAGAATCGCCATTTAAATTTTTTATAAGTAGAACTCAAGATAACAAACTGAATAAGACTACCAAAGGAAAAGATGTTATCCGAAAATAGATTTTATATTGAATAAGTCTTACTTCCGGTCAAAATATCAGAGGAATACATCCTTAATAAATTTCGATGTAAAACGGTACGTATTTAAAGGACAAAGGACACTGTTTTGAACTTTTCCCAAACACATCATTAAAAGCTCCATTGTGTTGTTTAAAAAGCAAAGCTGGCGAATGCTTGTGGTATTTCCGGAACATCCCGTCAGGTCTTCAAACTTCAAAATCAGAGCCGGTTGGTTAGTTTGTTGACTGGTTACATGTTTTCCGTTTCCTGTCAGACTCTTCCTACTTCTAGGCGCTATCTCGCCGACGAACGTCATTCCATCACAATGAGACTGCATAAAAACGTGTTCATCATTCTGACGTTTTATACATACGTGATATTTGGGTGATCGTGCATTAGAAGCTACGGCAAGATAAGTTATGTTGAAATTGAAAATGTAATTAGGCTAGATAGATATTGGCAAAAACCAAGAAGTACTGTATGACAATTACAAAGCAACAATCGGAAGTGGTGACCCATCAACTAGATGGGATGAACCTGAGGAGTCTGATATAGAGGCCTTATAGGCCTGCTCCGGAAAGATATACTTAAGTATCCTTAAGTAAGTAAGCAAGTAAGTAATTGATAGGAATGGACTAACTAGGATAGATTTAGTTTTGAAAGAGCGAGAATCACTAAACTGAAGGGTTAGTTGGGTTAACTTATACTAGAAGACGTATATTTTGAAGGAATAATGTGTTACTCCTAACTGGTTATTTATTGAGAGGAAATCATAAGAAATTTATTCCAACAGAAATTGTATATACACCTAACCGTCGAAGAAGCGGTCGACCACGGGATACCGCCCCTCGCGAAGGCCATCTAATATTGCTGCAGCAACTTCGGAGTCGATTTTTCCTGCAGCCATAACAGCAAGGGCTGAAACGTCACCGAAATGTGCGAGGAAGTATAACAAAGGCCCGGTTTAAGGCGACACCATCGCACCAATCGCCTTGATTTGACTCGGAGACACTGATATTGGCTCTTACGGCGGTGGAACAATGTCTTGTTCACCGATGAGTTGAGATTTTGTTTGATGTGCGACGGGAGGCAGCGAGTATGGTGATGTCGGAAAGAATGCTTTGCAGACTGCTGTGTGGGCTAGTATGACAGATTTAGTGGGTGGGTGTAGTGTGATAATCTGCGGCGGCATATCCGATGGAAATCGAACCATATTAGTCATTGTCAATGATAATTTGAATACAATTGAGTATCGGGATGAAACTTACAACGTCAGTGAGCTGGGTCATTTTGTATCATGAAAATGCGACATCCCACACCAGTCACGTACCTTAGACATTCTTACAGCGGAACAATGTCCAATTTTTTATTACCTTCAAAATTCCTCGATCTAAACGCAATAGAGAACGTTCGGCCACCTCTTTGAAACGGACTGTCACACAGCATTGACACGAAGATTCCTCTGATTCTATCGAAGCAGCCTTCATGGGTCCGATTCCATCGCTACAGTGTGTGGTCCAAGCCAATGGTAGTCACAAAAGTTACCAACACAGTTCTTAGAAGTGACCATCACATGTCTTGTACATCACACAACATCACCGATCCATAGCGGATTTTGGTCGGCATTTAAACGTCCATAAGCAGACGTCCTATTTGACCCTCCCTCATGTACCATAGTTCAATGGAGCCCGACACTTTTTGTAGCTGCCGTCGATACAAATTTTGATAACCCTGCATTTTTGGTTAAGCTTATTATTAGCTGTTCTTAAAAGAAGAATCAAAATTATCCCTGAAATATCTTATGCATGTCAGATTTCCTATCAATGTTTTATTTTTTTTTCAGTTATGATTTTTCTGAGGTTGTTATTTACATATTTTCAACTTTTTAACAAAGGTTCGTCTATTGATTTTTTATCATTAAATATCCTTCTTCTTTAGAGCAATTTATCTCGCAGTCAATGTTGTCATGGATTAAAGCTGTTTTAGCAAAATTGCCTGCCTAAACATTAAGCGAAATGTCTACATGAGCTGGTATATATTTGAAGGTAATTTGGATGCCCTTCTTGTCTAATAAATGTACAGCATTTTAAATGAAGTGGATAATTGTAGACCCGTTGCTATTTCTGGTCTGTAGTGACTGTATAGAGGACATATTCTGTAAGAATGAAAGCGCCGCCTTGCGGCTTTTCGGTATCAATAATTGTA